ATCTTCACATATTCACATCCTCACATCTTCACATCTTCTCATCTTCTCATCTTCACATCTTCTCATCTTCACAGCTTCTGATTCTAATCTTTACAACTTCTCACCTTCACATCTTATCATCTTCACATCGTCTCATCTTCACATCTTCTCATCTTCACACCTTCTCATCCTCACACCTTCTCCTCTTGCCCTCTTGCCCTCACATCCTCTCATCTTCTCATCTTCACACCTTCTCATCTTCACATCTTCTCATCTTCACAACTTCTCACCTTCACATCTTCTCATCTTCACATCTTCTCATCTTCACATCTTCTCATCTTCACATCTTCTCATCTTCACATCTGCTCATCTTCACATCTTCTCACTTCACATCTTCTCATCTTCACATCTTCTCACTTCACATCTTCTCACTTCACATCTTCTCATCTTCACATCTTCACATCTTCCCATCTTCTCATCTTCACATCTTCTCATCCTCGCATCTTCACATCTTCACATCTTCACGCCCTCACATCTTCACATCTTCACATCTCACCTTCACATCTTCACATCTTCACATCTTCACGCCCTCACATCTTCACATCTTCACATCTCACCTTCACATCTTCACATCTTCACATCTTCTCATCCTCGCATCTCATCTTCACATCCTCACATCTTCACATCTTCTCATCCTCACATCCTCACATCTTCACATCTTCTCATCCTCACATCCTCACATCTTCACATCCTCACATCTTCACATCTTCTCATCTTCACATCTGCTCATCCTCACATCTTCTCATCTTCACATCTGCTCATCTTCACATCCTCACATCTTCACGTCTTCACATCCTCACATCCTCACATCTTCACATCTTCCCATCCTCACATCCTCACTTCTTCACATTCTCTCTTGCCCTCTTGCTCTCTTGCCCTCTTGCTCTCTTGCCCTCTTGCTCTCTTGCCCTCTTGCTCTCTCCTTCTTTTCTATTTCTCTCTTGAAGGCGCGGGGCAGTGCCAACGAGACGGCACGAAACGCAGCCGTTTCGCACGAAACGAGGTTGGATCGCCAAAAACTGAAGTAAAACTGCGATTTTACAACCTCGGCGGCAACCCTTTCGCACGAAATGAGGTTCGATCGCTAAAAACTGCGGTAAAATTTGAAATGTCCGCAGCAACGCTTTCGCACGAAATGAGGTTCGATCGCTAAAAACTGCGGTAAAATTTGAAATGTCCGCAGCAACGCTTTCGCACGAAATGAGGTTCGATCGCCAAAAACTGCGGTAAAATTGCGATTTAACAACTTCCGCGGCAACCCTTTCGCACGAAATGAGGTTCGATCGCCAAAAACTGAGGTAAAATTGCAAATTTACATAAATTTACAACCTCCGCGGTAACCCTGTGTGTAAATGTGTCTGTGTGTAAAAATTTCTGTGTGTAAACGTGTCTGTGTGTAAAAACTTCTGTGTCACCGTGTCTGTGTGTAAAAGCTTCTGTGTCACCGTGTCTGTGCGTAAAAAAAGCTTCTGTGTGTAAACATGTTTGTGTGTAAATGCGTCTGTGTGTAAACGCGTCTGTGTGTAAAAGCTTCTGTGTGTAAACGCTTCTGTGTGTAAAAGTCTCTGTGTGCAAAAGCGTTTGCGTGTAAAAGCTTCTGTGTGCAAAAGCGTCTGTGTGTAAAAGGTTCTGTGTGCAAAAGCGTCTGCGTGTAAAAGCTTCTGTGTGCAAAAACGTCTGTGTGTAAAAGGTTCTGTGTGTGAAAAACTATACGAAGGATAGGATGCAAACTATTGTCTTGTACTTGTAATATATTGTCTTGATACTACTCTTCTCGTCTGCCTATAATACATCTTTAATATATTGTCTTGTAATACAACGTCTCAATACTAACAACAGAAGACCCTGCTCCTCTACGCTCTCGGGCCATCTGTTGGATAGTTGTTGGATCTTTTAAGTGATGAACTGACTAACTACTGGACTACTAGTGGACTACATAAGCCTATTGCAACCTCAACTTTTGAAAGTGAAGTACAAGAAAACCATCATTGATATTGACCATGGTTGGGCCATAGTTTTTCAGTCAACACATAGTTGTGATGACTAGTAGTTCATGGGAAAGGTTGAAGATCTCCATGTTTTGTTGACAAGATATACCCTCTGGTAAACTAACATAACCATGGAAAATCACATTTTTATATGGGCAAATCAACTATAAATGGCAATTTTCAATAGCTATGTTAAATTACCAGAGGGCACCTTGGGATATCAACAGCCCCGAGATGCCAATGGGTTGATGGTCTCAGGTGGCTCCGATGGCCACACCAGTGCTCTTCCTGTGTATCTTTGTTGGGGCCCCAAGTGATCCCAGTTGTGCAGATCGTTTCAGATCCCGGAATTGGCCACAATTGGGAAAAGTCGAGGCAAGGGGAACCAGAAGACAGATCGTAGGTGAGACATGCCGAACTCATCCGAACTCCGAGTTCATCTTCAAGTTCATCTTCAAACTGTTGGTTTCATCATGACTCCTCAAAAAATCCACCGATTTTTTTCCAATCACAGCTGCCACTGAGGTCCTTAGCTTTGGAACGCTGAATATCCTGGTTGCGGTCAGACACCAAGGGCCATTGCCGATCGATCTGTTTCCGACAGGGCAAGTTTGGTTTCCCAAAGACGACCAAGAACTTGGATGCTGGTAAAGATGATAAGAGAGCCATAAAGTCATATAAAGTCCCTCACAGAAACCGAAGAAAACCATAGAAAACCATGTGAGCCCTGAGAAAGATGTAGTAGAAATGATACTAATCGTAAGAATTGATGAAATTATAATTAGTAAAAGTAGTGATATTCGTCGTAATACATGAATTTCTTGAAAAAATTTGAACGCGATGACTCGCGCGGAACCCGCGTTGAGGTCATGGTCGAGCGTATCTCAGTGATCACCGCAGATCGCCGGACCCACGCCGAGCAGGTGGGGCGATGTAGCGTTAAAAAACCAACAGAGATCACCAACAGATATCACCATAGATATCATCATAGATATCCTCAATTGTTGGTGAATTTCCCCATATATATCCAGCATTCAGCACTTCTGTCTTTCTGTGCAGACACTTTGACTAGGCTCGTGTTCGCATGGAAGCAGTGCCTCGGCGCCAATGGGTGAAGCCACACAATTCCATGTGTCTAGCCGTATTTAGGTTCGTATAGTTACCCTCTGGTAAACTTACAAAAAGCTATTGAAAATGGCCATTTATAGTGGATTTTCCCATTAATAATGGTGGATCTTTCCATAGTTATGTTAGTTTACCAGAGGGTATACCGATAATTATCCATAATGAAATATTAACATGTTGATATTCACAATTATATATTCATTTCTGAATATGGAGGTTTCCTAACATGGGGCTACCCCCAAATCATCCAAGTCATTAGACAATTTCAGTATATTTCAGCATTGAAAGCCGTGGTTCTAGGGATTATTTTAGGAACCCCCCCATATCACCATATATCACCAACACCCAGCTGCGCTGCTGAGTACATGTTGGAGTCGATGGTCGAAGACCTCCATGCCAACGACAAAGATGGAAGTGGCGATATTTCACAGAAAGAGTTCAAGAAGATCATCAGGCGCAGCTCTGCGGGGATCCACCAACAGTTTTTTTGTTCGCAGTTGACTTGTTGACCCATTTCGATGGCGATGGCCTTCGATGAGGATCATGGTTCGATCTGCCAATCCCCAACACATAGGAAAACTTTGTGGAAAACTGAAATGAACCAAATGTGGGTCGTAACAACAGCCAAATGATGATGTTTTTATATGTTTTTATGCGTCAAGCAATTAAAAAACTATCAATCACAATGATATGGCCAGTCGGAATAAAATTTATTCTTTCATCACCTCCATTATAATTGACTTGTCTCGTCTCGACAATGATATCCTATATCAGTCGTAGTGGGATTGTTGATGACCACAATATCCCAGATGCTATTCTCAATCACTCTAATATCCCATATCAGTATATATATCAGTTCCAAACACGGTAGACTTAACCTTTCATCACAACAACATCCCCATATGCAGTGGATACTGTATATAAAATTGTCCTGAACTAGATAAGGTATAGGATTTTCAAACATATTATCTATATATATATATATTCCCCATTCACCTGTTGTTGTTTCCTTTTGTGTGCTATTCACTACCATATTCTATCACATTCTTGCATATTCTATGTACTCCAGGATGACTATCAATTCTGTGTGTATATATGTATATATATAATTATATATACAGTATATTTATATGTATATATCATATATCATATTGATATATGTTATATATATATATGTTTATATATATATATAATACATACACATAGGTATACATATGATATCAGCATATATCAGTCAAAAAAACCCGACACTTCCTCTGGGCGCCCCGGGCGTTTGAGGATCCCCGGCTTGGTGAAGAAGCTGGGGCTGCTGGGGATCACCATCGAGGAGGCGGAGAGTCTCTTTGACATCATGGATGTGAACCATAGCGCCTTGGCGCCGTTCGAACTGCTGCTGAAATCGCCGAAACTGGTCGAAAAATAGGTGAACATGCGACTGTTGGAAATGGACACAAAATCGACAGGTGGGGAATCCATGGCCCCCCAAAAATGGTGATTTTGGCCATTTTCATGGATAAAATTAATACAATCGGGCCAACTGGGACCTGAAAAGGATGAAAGATGCTGTTAGCTGTTTTCCAAGATACTGAAGTATGGCTATTTCACAAGGGAAATTTTGATAAACCAAAGTCATAACAGCTTGGTGGGGAATGGTCAAATATACAGTAAGGCTCTCTTAATGGAAAAAAACATGACAGCCTTGGAAAAAATGCGGAGAATGGCTCATAATTCATTGCTTTTCTTTGAAAAATCGGAAAGGGACCCCATGGAAATCATCGATTCATGTACAAGAATCGCATAGAATCGCCATAATATGATTTTTCAATATACAACAATCATCATGCTTTACAGTATGTCTTCGTTTTTTTTCGTCATCCATCAGATTCCCCACGCTGCGGGTTTCCCGCGGTGCCTTGACCGTCAGGTGGAACGGTGACGCCCGAAGAGTTCATCGCAGGGCTGCAGAAGGCGCCGGCGCTGGGTGTGGATGGGATGTCGAATTGGATGAAGAATATGGGAGAATGTGATAGAAGGGGATAGTTCATATATATAGTTTATATATATATTTAATTATATATATATATATATCTGGGTAAATAATGTATAATAATATATCATGGCTTATAAGGGGAATTTTTCCCAAATGGCCTTGATGTATGAATGGATAGTCATAGAATTCAATCATATTATTCTTGCAGGATGATGAATGGGATGGGAATTTTTGTACGGTTTTATAAGATTGGGATTTTTCATCATATTGAACCAACGATGGGACATGATTAATCATTAATCCCAAAAAGGCATGACTATTGGTGAATAAATTTGACCCATGTTTTTTTTTCTGAGAATCAATATGGGGATTCATGGGGATTTAACCAACAAACGATGGGAAGCAATGGTGATTAATTAATGTGGTAAAGCCACTGCCATTGTCACTATCCCCCCTAGATGTTTGTTAATGGTCATTAATTGGGATTAACAAACGAAGATACCGGTGTCATCACACATGACGATTCCTGGAAAATCCATGCAACGTCTGATTCCCGCAGGGTAAATGCTGATTCGTGGGAGCAACTCATGGGAAAGCTGTGATTAGCTTGGTTTAAAACTCGATTCGGCTAAAAATGCTGATGTCGCTGAGTCATTGTTTTTATCCCAGGCACCACCTGGATTTTTGCCGGTAGGCCATGGGACTCATTCCAGCGTAACAAGGATCGATTTCAATGCCGATTCTGGGGGTATACGAAGCATTTTCAGACGCACAGAAAATATGTTTTGTTGATCGTGTAATCGTATGTAGTCGTTACATCTCCATTTTCGATAGTAAAACCAATCACACAAAAGCCATTCCCATATAAGCTCAATGTATTGTTCATTATAAAACGGGCTAGCGCCCGGGTGCCGCCGACCCCTCCTTCTTTGGGACACAACGCTATTATGTTAGGTTTATTAGAGGTGGTCATGCTTAATGTGGGGTCAAAGTGCCATGGGTCGTGTGCATGCAATACGCGATCGATGGTTCAAAGCAACATTGTGACACAGCACCTCTTCACATGTTTGTTTCCTTGACCACGATCCTTCCCAGTGCGTTATATTGCGTTCGAGATTGGATTTTGGTTGTCCAGTACCTTCAATTGATTAGCAATTTGAATTGAATGCATGGTTGGGTGGGCTTGTTGGTGAAAGGGACCTTGAAAGTTTTAACATGGCATCCACTCTACGAACCTTTCCTGGATTTGACATTTCGCTACGGTTTCACCATTCTATGGGATTTCCCGTTGCACAATTGATTAGCAATTTGAATTGAATGCATGGTTGGGTGGGCTTGTTGGTGAAAGGGACCTTGAAAGTTTTAACATGGAGCGCAAGCAGGGGAGGAGGGCAAGAGTTTCCAATATGTTTGTCCCGCTTGCCAAAAGTCTGTGAGGAGCAGTATACGCACGGGCCAAGTAGATCACCGACGCGCATGTGGTAACCGTTTCCAGGTGTGGGATGCGCAGGTCGTTGCGAAAGGGTATGTGTATATTTGCCCTGCTTGCAAAGGGAATGTGGCTAGTGACGTGAAGACAGGGCAAATAAACCATCGAACGGTCTGTGGGAACCAGTTTTCTGTCAAGGACGGCGTTGTGCAGGAAAAAGCGTATGTTTACATTTGCCCCGCTTGCAAAGGGAATGTTGCCAGTGACGTCAAGACAGGGCGAATAGACCATCGAAGGGTCTGTGAGAAGCAGTTTTCTGTGAAGAACGGCGTTGTGACGGAAAAAGCGTATGTTTACGTTTGCCCCGCTTGCAAAGGAAATGTGGCCAGTGACGTGAAGACAGGGCAAATAAACCATGGAACGGTCTGTGGGAACCAGTTTTCTGTCAAGGACGGCGTTGTGAAGGAGAAAGCGCATGTTTACACTTGCCCCGCTTGCAAAGGGAATGTGGCCAGTGACGTGAAGACAGGGCAAATAGACCATCGAAGGGTCTGTGGGAAGCAGTTTTCTGTGAAGAACGGCGTTGTGACGGAAAAAGCGTATGTTTACGTTTGCCCCGCTTGCAAAGGAAATGTGGCCAGTGACGTGAAGACAGGGCAAATAAACCATGGAACGGTCTGTGGGAACCAGTTTTCTGTCAAGGACGGCGTTGTGAAGGAGAAAGCGCATGTTTACATTTGCCCCGCTTGCAAAGGGAATGTGGCCAGTGACGTGAAGACATGGCAAATAGACCATCGAAGGGTCTGTGGGAAGCAGTTTTCTGTGAAGAACGGCGTTGTGACGGAAAAAGCGTATGTTTACGTTTGCCCCGCTTGCAAAGGAAATGTGGCCAGTGACGTGAAGACAGGGCAAATAGACCATCGAACGGTCTGTGGGAAGCAGTTTTCTGTCAAGGACGGGGTTGTGAAAGAGAAAGGTGGTAAACGGCAAGCTTGAACGCCGAGAAAAGGCTATTGATTTGGCTTTGGGGTATCGTTTGCATTGTGCAAAGGCTGGCAAACGGCAACCTTGGACGCCTAAGAGAATTGATTTGGCCTTGGACCCCCATGACGGGTTGTAAGGGTTTTAAGCGTTTGGACGGTTGTTAAGGGTTTTAAGCGTTTAAGGGCTGGCAAACGGCAGGCTTGGACGCCTATAAGAAGACATTGATGTGTGGCCTTGGAGTGCCTGTTGGCCGCAGGATGAAGCATGCCAAGGTTCCCTTGTGTTTAAGGCCTGGCAAACGGCAGGCTTGGCCCCCCATGACGGTTTGAAGGGTTTTAAGGGTTTTTAAACGTTTGAATGGCCTGGCAAACGGCAGGCTTGGACCCCCATGAACGGCTTGTAAGGGTTTTTAAGGTTTTTAAGCGTTGGAGGGTTTTTAAGCGTTTAAGGGCTGGCAAACGCAGGCTTGGACGCCCATAAGAAGACATTGATGTGTGGCCTTGGGGTGCCTGTTGGCTGCAAGATGAAGCATGCCAAGGGAATGTTTAAGGCCTGGCAAACGGCAGGCTGCGACGCCCACAAGAAGCCATTGATGTGTGGCCTTGCGGGCCTGGCAAACGGCAGGCTTGGACCCCCATGACGGTTGTAATAAGGGTTTTAAGCGTTTGGATGGTTTTTAAGGGTTTGAAGCGTTTAAGGGCTGGCAAACGGCAGGCTTGGACGCCTATAAGAAGACATTGATGTGTGGCCTTGGAGTGCCTGTTGGCCGCAGGATGAAGCATGCCAAGGTTCCCTTGTGTTTAAGGCCTGGCAAACGGCAGGCTTTGACCCCCCATGACGGGTTGTAAGGGTTTTAAGGGTTTTAAGCGTTTGGAGGGTTTTTAAGCGTTTAAGGGCTGGCAAACGGCAGGCTTGGACGCCCATAAGAAGACATTGATGTGTGGCCTTGGAGTGCCTGTTGGCTGCAGGATGAAGCATGCCAAGGTTCCCTTGTGTTTAAGGCCTGGCAAACGGCAGGCTTGGACCCCCCATGACGGGTTGTAAGGGTTTTAAGGGTTTTAAGCGTTTGGAGGGTTTTTAAGCGTTTAAGGGCTGGCAAACGGCAGGCTTGGACGCCCATAAGAAGACATTGATGTGTGGCCTTGGAGTGCCTGTTGGCTGCAGGATGAAGCATGCCAAGGTTCCCTTGTGTTTAAGGCCTGGCAAACGGCAGGCTGCGACCCCATAAGAAGCCATTGATGTTAGCCCGGGCCTGGCAAACGGCAGGCTTGGACCCCCATGACGGTTGTAAGAAGGGTTTTAAGCGTTTGGAGGTTTTTAAGGTTTTAAGCGTTTAAGGGCTGGCAAACGGCAGGCTTGGACGCCTCATAAGAAGACATTGATGTGTGGCCTTGGAGTGCCTGTTGGCCGCAGGATGAAGCATGCCAAGGTTCCCTTGTGTTTAAGGCCTGGCAAACGGCAGGCTTGGACCCCCCATGACGGGTTGTAAGGGTTTTAAGGGTTTTAAGCGTTTGGAGGGTTTTTAAGCGTTTAAGGGCTGGCAAACGGCAGGCTTGGACACCCATAAGAAGACATTGATGTGTGGCCTTGGAGTGCCTGTTGGCTGCAGGATGAAGCATGCCAAGGTTCCCTTGTGTTTAAGGACTGGCAAACGGCAGGCTTGGACCCCCCATGACGGGTTGTAAGGGTTTTTAAGGGTTTTAAGCGTTTGGAGGGTTTTTAAGCGTTTAAGGGCCGGCAAACGGCAGGCTTGGACGCCCATAAGAAGACATTGATGTGTGGCCTTGGAGTGCCTGTTGGCTGCAGGATGAAGCATGCCAAGGTTCCCTTGTGTTTAAGGCCTGGCAAACGGCAGGCTTGGGCCCCCCATGACGGGTTGTAAGGGTTTTAAGGGTTTTAAGCGTTTGGAGGGTTTTTAAGCGTTTAAGGGCTGGCAAACGGCAGGCTTGAGCCCATAAAAGACATTGATCCTGGAGTGCCTGTTGGCTGCCATGCCAAGGTTCCCTTGTGTTCAAGGCCTGGCACGGCATTGGACCCCCCATGACGGGTTGTAAGGGTTTTAAGGGTTTTAAGCGTTTGGAGGGTTTTTAAGCGTTTAAGGGCTGGCAAACGGCAGGCTTGGACGCCCATAAGAAGACATTGATGCGTGGCCTTGGAGTGCCTGTTGGCTGCAGGATGAAGCATGCCAAGGTTCCCTTGTGTTTAAGGCCTGGCAAACGGCAGGCTTGGACCCCCCATGACGGGTTGTAAGGGTTTTAAGGGTTTTAAGCGTTTGGAGGGTTTTTAAGCGTTTAAGGGCTGGCAAACGGCAGGCTTGGACGCCCAAAAGAAGACATTGATGTGTGGTGTGGCCTTGGGGTGCCTGTTGGCTGCAGGATGCAGCATGGCAAACGGCAGGCTTGGACCCCCAGGAGGTGGCAAAGGGCAGGCTTGGACGCCCATAAGGAGAAAGAAGACATTGATGTGTCGCCTTGCGGTGCCTGTTGGCTGCAGGATGAAGCATGCCAAGGGAATGTTTAAGCGATGGCTTTTAAGGGCTGGCAAGTGGCCTTGGAAAGCTAAGAAGGAGAAGTTCCACACCTGCGGTGGTCCCAGGCGCCGCCCTGCCTTGGCCAAGGCCGGGGTCGGCGGATATTTACCAGCATTTAGCCCATTTACCCCATAAATCACCCAGTGATGTAAACCATCCATGGAGCATTTGGGTAGCCGCTCCGCCCGTGCAGATCAAAGGGCAAGCCAAAGGACGGTCAGGGCTGTGACGTGGTCCCCAGCCGGCGCATTCGCACGTAGATGGTTTCGCTGGATTTTCTAGGGATTTTTAGAGGGACTAAATGAGATCTAATGGGATAATGGGATTTATAGGGATTTTGTAGGGATTTTGATGGAATTTACAGTGATTTTAGAGGGATTCTATGGGATTTACTGTACCCTCTCTCAAACATGGCAAGCCGGAACATCCCCATTTAGTTCAATGAATTTCCCATTCAAACCTCCATTGGCGGAGGGTAAACGTCACAAGGTCTTCATGTATTTCTTTTGGTTTTTCTAGCAGATCTAGCAGGTGTTCTTAGATGTTCTTAGCACTTTTTGTGTCTCAAGGCTGTTGCGAGCCCTATCGCTACCTCCTTCTTTGAACTTTCTCATAACGCTTTCGGATTGACTCTGTGCACAAGATTCGACCGCGACCGCGACACCGCGGATGGTGTAAGCTTTCTTGTTCCGGGCAGGACAAGATATGGTCCAACTCATTTGCTATGCCCAAAGGCAGGTGGTCAGATCGGCTGCGTATGTCCAGAGAATCAAATTCCTGAACATGCAGGTGGGACGCCACTGGACTTGGTGTGGAACACTAGAGGGGTTCACTTATGGGCTCCATGGGACCCAGTGATGCGAAAAAAATCTGGAAGGCTGCGGAAGATGGAACAAGGCTTAGTTACAGTTTGTTTTGATTTTGAGATGGATCTGGCACAGTCACATCAAGTTTCGGTGAAACAAGTGTGAAACAGATCGCCTGAAGTGACAAGGGTTCCTGTTGAAATGGATCTTTGCTACTCTAAGACCCGGTTCCAAGAGACATGCCAAAAAATTCAGCAGATTGTTTTTCTATGCGTTTTTCCAGGGTTTCCAATGAACACATCTACTTTCAGCAGCAGTGAGATCAAGTTTCAAGAACTTCAGCATTTCAGGTGGATGGTGTCCAGGAGCGTCTGAACTCTTCAGGTTGGGAGATCGGTTTAGGAGTTGGGCACCGGCAATTGGGTACTCGTGACTCAACAAGCGATAGCCAGACTGTGGAGGTACCTCCAGACATCTCCAGACATTTGATCAATGGCCATTTCAGGAACCTAAATTGGAGGTACCTACCATATATAAGGCCTATATAGGGCCTATGTAAGGGAATATACACCCAAAATATAGCCTTATATGGTACAGTACCTCCATTTTAGGATCCTGGAATTCCCATTGAAACAAGGGTTTCGACTGTGCAGTTTCCAAGTCCCTGATTTTTCCAACTCCAAACACCACCCATTTGGATGGTGAAAAACCAATAAAAACCAGGCATCTCCTTGCAGTACGAATCCTTCGATCGTGTCAAGGCGGGCCCTGTTGGTTACAGGTAATAAAATGGCTATTTAACTTAACCAACAAGAATGGTGGTATCATGGATAACTAGATAATGTCAATACACCTGGCTTTAAGCATCATAAATCATCATAAACACTAATATAAATTTACAGTGACTTGGTTTTGTTGGGTCATTCTAACTCGCCCCAGTTCTTTTCTTGGCCCAAAAATCCATGCCAAGTGGGGATATCTCCATGATCTCCCCATTGAGGCCGCTGAGCGCAACGACTGTGTCACTACCTCGGCAGCTCATCGACGCTTGGAGAAATCTTCAGAAAACATGGTGAATCTAGTAGCCCCAAATTTGAAACAGGCTGACCATGTTTTTTTTCCCATATCTTTTCATGGTTTTTCATCTTTCTAGATGTTCTGGGATGTGAATTGGGATTTAGTTTAACCATGTTTAACCATTGGCCAAGATATCAAAGATGTACAAACATTGACCAAGAATTGGGCCTTTTTACGGCCAAACCTTGGGATTTTAACCATTAGAGATTGGATTCACCCAAAGAAATGGATTTGGCAATGCAATTTTGGATTTCTCCATCAAACAAATCGAAGTTTACAATCAAGACACTGGGATTTAAACATATTTTAACGCCACCAAACAATGAGGGATAATCTGGGGATGCGTCTGGCTAGAATCGAGCTGGGGACATGAATCAAGAAATGGACATGCAATCAGCCAACGTTGCAAATGTGGAGATCAGAATGCCCAACAGGCAATAAATTCTTGACCCTCTGGTTATTTAACGTAGCTCCGGAAAAAAAACACCATGTTTCATAGGTAAATATCGGTAAATAGTGCATACATGGGCCATTTTCCATAGCTATGTTAAATCACAACATGGTAACTTTAAGGAATCGCAAAAAAGCAGAAGACATTTCTCCCAACTACTCAGCTGCTTGGTCCCTTGGAAGTCCATTGAGGACAACTTCTGCTCTTTACCCTGGACGCGGAGAGGCAAACCACCTATCCAGTGGTGGATGATACCAGGTGCCAAACTGCAGCATGTGACAATTTTCAACATGGGTGGAAGTCAAGAAAAGGAACAAGTCCTGGGAGAGTCATAGAAGATATGTACAGAATTGTACACATATCATATATATATAATTATATAGTATATATATATATATCATTGATATAAACGTTGACCCATGCCAACTTGTGCTCGTGTTTGTTAATTTAATGCATTTGTTCGCAACTTGCTGCCGTAGTACCCGGTACTACCCAGCTATGCATCGCCAAAAAAGCCAGGACTGCCAACGACGACGAGGATGGCTGGGTGTGAGAGCTAGATGGTCTTCAGGCGGCTCCGGCATAATTTGAAGAAGTTGTCAATCTTCTACATATGGGGGGTTTCCATAAATGGAGGTACCCCAAAATGGATGGTTTATAATCGACAATCCTATTAAAATGGATGAGTTGGGGGTACCCCTATTCTAGGAAACCTCTACATATCCACAGATGGTAAAGAGGAGCTCCATGTGGTGTGAACAAATAACATGAGATGTGCGGTCGAACTTCAGTTTTCAGGGATCATGGAAATCTACACTTTTTTTTATACCCCTCCCAAAGGTAACCCCTCCCACCAAATAAGGATGTCCGGTTGGAGGGTCAACAACAAATCCATCCCACTTGCCGCTGACGGTCTCACTTTCATCGGCGCGGTCGACTCCCCAAAGGGGACGAGACGCAGAAAAAGAAGGGCCAGCCTCGAAGTGCCTCATTTGTTTGGGATGTTTTGAGGATTCATTGGATCATTGAAGGTCTGGAGCTCTGGGTTTGAAAATTCAAGGCTTCAAGGCATCTACTTTGCAGATCTTTGCAGGCATGAAATGTCCCATCAATCATCGAAGCAGATGCACGTTGGTGTCGTGATTACCCTAACCAGGTTGGGTGATGTTCAAATGATAGACTCGAGTTCATAGCCATTTTTACGGAAAATGAAGTTTATCTTTTAAACGATGGGTTTAGAATGTTTATCAATTTTGCTGCAGACTGACCCCAATATTTCTCCAATTTTTCCCAAAGAGTGTTACCCAGACATTTTCAGAAAGTGGTCGATATTTTGCAGATTTTGGCATTGTAGCGATTTTATTTGGGTAATATTAACCCCAAAAAACTTGTCCCCCCAAAAGATGTTCTCCAAAAACGTCCCAAAATATTTCTGGATCACATGCAGCACTATTTTTTCAAAAATCCAGATTTAGATGGATTATAAATACATGAGCATTAATCTGTTGACAGTTTATCTGGATTTTAAGAAAATCTTCGTAGCACTGGTCGCACTGGTCATGGCGATCTCCATCTCCTGGATGAGAATTTTCTCTACGGCCAGACTTTCCCATGTCCCCATCTCTTTTGAGAAAGGGTTGTAACCAAAAACAAATATGGCTTTCATTAAATGCTGATTTAATTAATGATGATGATTATGGTTAGCAATGGTTCATAGTGGTTAATACTGTAAGTTAAGACTCATTAGAACTGTTAATAAGAATGGTGGTCAGCATGATTCATCATGATTAACCATTCTTATCCAAAACTGTTGATAAGATTGGTGTCAGAATGATTCATCATTCTTAACCAGTATTAACCAGTATTAGCATATATATATATATATACACCCTCTGGTTATTTAACGTAGCTATGGAAAATGGCCCATTCATAGATGATTTATCATGATTTACCTATTTAAAAATGGTGATTTACCTATATACATATATATATATACACATACATATACATATATTTATATATATAGGTACATATATATATATATGTATTCACATTTACTGATGGTGCAAATAACATCTGTAAAGAAAAAATCCACGTCTGCCACCGGCTCCCAGGTGGTGGCACCACCAAAGCCTGGGATCCGGAACTGCTTGAGGCCTTGCGGCCGCAGACGGCACCGGAGCTCCAAGGCGTGATGTGTTGTTTTTTTTTTGGGGAACGTTGATAGATGTTGATAGAATATGATAGGTCTGATATGTATTATATATGATATATATATATATACTGTATGTTTATATGATATATGATATATGATATATATGATATATATATACACATACACTGTATATACATGCTATGTGTATATCTACACATTATACATGTATGAATTTTGTGTCATATATATGATATATATATGATATATTATATATATGTAACATGTTGCTATCCAGTGGTGAATGTTTTCGGGAGCTGTTCGGAGCTGTTGAGTATATGCAAACAAACAGCTGGAAGTTTCGGAGCCAGTTGGAGCTACGAATAGAACTTCCCAACCATATGGTAGTTTAGGGAATTTGATGGAGTATACATGATATAGATTGCAACTGGTATTGTTTGTTTTGAAATTAGTGGAATCTACATCGCTGATAGTCACGAAACCGTGCGAACTTGCAGAATTGAAATTGATTGACTATAAATGCAAGACATGATATTAATGGGCTACACAACGCTGCGTGTGTGCATGTATAGGTATCTATACAACATGTATTATATATTATGTATATATATATAGCGAATATGATCTCTAGATATGTTTGGGTTTTCTATGGTCACATTTTGATTCTCATGGATTATGGATAAATATGGGGATTGAAGCAACGACAATGCTGATATGATGGGGATAGAATAGAATAGAGTTTATTGGGTGGTGGGTAGCCTAAGATTGTCATTTCTATGGGGAAAACTCTCATGACCACTAGAAAATGATGTGGTACCCAATTTTAAGATGTTGGCCAGAAAAATACACTACTCTGGTTTTTTCCTCTGCATCCGACTTTTTTCTGGGATGGTAATGCCAGTTGACAAAGAATCCTTTTGGAAGTGGTTGACACCAACAACTACTTAGTAACGATCTATCTTCACGCAACTAGTTGAATCTTATTATACTGGTATCGATCCCCAAAAAGATAGCAAAATAAGTTCTACTTAAAAATAATGATGATATTCCACTGGGGTACTTAATATATCTACTTAATATGTTTATATGATATATATCTACTTAATAAGTTCTACTTATGGCAATTGCGGATGGTGTCCTTTCCAGCTGTCCTAGTTAAAACGCCAGGCGTTCCATCTCGGCCTTTCACTCCACGGAGCCAGGTGCAGGGAGGGATGGGCGCTGCCAAACAGGAATGGGGATGGGTCAAAACCTATGAGCTTACCATCTTTTGGGGAATAACCATCCCTTCATACCAGCTATTTAAAGGTGAAATTATATATCACATTTTTGGGAAAAAACATCCATTCACTTTCACCGACCATTTTAAAGGTTTCTCCGTTTGGGTACCAGGGTCTTGACCCATTAGTAAATATGACAAGGACAGTTTTGTGATGATGAAGTTTTGTTTGGTGGCTATATTTACAAACATTTTTCAAGCTGATTTATCCAACCGGTCTTGGTTTCCGTATTTCTATCAGCATGCTCTACACACAATGTATTACAATGTACTATATATATATATATTTAAATATTATATATACACGATTATATACGTGTACACCTTACATACACACAGACAAGGACAGATCGCTCCTCTTCTTGGTTGCATCACTATTTTGGTGACAACATTTACACATGTGCTGCTTCTCCACATATCAAGTCAGATCAACCACCAAAGAACTGGAAAAGTTGTTGGGGGTTTCTAGACTGGACTTCACTTCATGTTCCTATTGGGCAAAAAACATCACAAAACCCAAGATCTTGGCAGATGACAAAGCCGCCCTCGCCGCGGGCTGCTCAGCAGTAGCCATGCTTAGATATCTTAGATGGATCCCAGGAAAGATCATCAACATCGTCAAGATGGGGGATATGTTGTAGTATCTATTTCAGTGATTTTCGAAGGATTTGCGTGCGCTGTTTTGTTCCGTTGTTCCGTTTTGGTTGATGATACAAACTATGACCATGTTCTGTTGGATTCTGAATCATTGTTACTTTCCGTCGGGAGATAGCTTCAAAAGTTCTTGCCAACTATGCTTTGATTCTCATATCGAATGGATCAAGGGCTCATTATGTGTTCACATTGGGACATATAGAGATGCGCATGTATGAAGATCAATGTAAAAATGTCTTGTATGGGAATATGCACGAGGGCAGACAGATAGACAGATCCATTGGTGTAAATCATGATACGAATATGTGTTTTTCATTGTATGTGTGACACATGAGTTTGCTGCAGGTCAAAAGTGAAACAACCATCTTTCAAACATGTGAAGCAAACATGTTTCAAAACAGGTTTGTCCACTTTGGATCCTTAGGCCCAAACGAGAGACTCACGACGTGGAGGTGGGTCATTGGAGTCATCCGAATCCTGGTGCTGATGGGAGAACCCCAAGGAGCTCGTGGAACCTGTTTCTTGAGTGTTATAATGTGATAAACCATGGTAAACCCCATAAGAAACTATCTCATTACCAGCATAACTGGGTGGTAACCATGGGTAGAAACTACCATGGTTACTACTTACAATGGGTGGTAGAAACCATTAGAAACCATTTTGATGCGGTGTACCACATTTTTTTTTATATTGAAAGCGATTCTTCACCAGCCAGTTTCGTTACAACATGTTACAACAGCCATATACTGCTCCTTTGACCCCTGACCGATGATTCCTCCAAGGCCGTGGCCCGAACTTTCAACTTTGCTCGGCAGTGCGTCAGGGTCTCGTCTCGAGGATGACCAAAAATGGAGCTGATTCGAAACGTGAAACTTGAAGCGTTTCGATTTGTGGAACCCGGTCTTGATAGCGTACATTATTTATAAATAATTTAATATATTTCCCTGAAACCATTATTGCTATAGTGTCATCATCAATCTTCATCAATGACTGGTATTTATTTTCGAAAATCAAACTGTCCTATTATTGCTCATATCATCATCAATTATTGTTTTTATTTGTGCAGCTGGGTCAAGGCCGCAAAGAAGTTGCCGATGCCGAATTTGGGCACCTTCACCCTGGGCGATGAGTCGCGCCTGAAGCTGTCCAACTGGTCACTAGGCCGGGGGGGATGATGAAAAATGGGGATGACATCAAAATCTTCAAATATCATCAAATATTCTGAACCAAGACTGTGTACTAATAGCGTCTAAAAACTACTAATAGCGTATATAATGCTACTAGTAGCGCATCAAGGTCACTCTGACCATTTTTGAGATTTTGAGATACCCTCTGGTAATTTAACATAGCTATTGAACATGGCCATAGAAATAGTGGATTTTCCCATGAAACATGGTGGATCTTTCCATAGCTATGTTAAATTACCAGAGGGTACCCTATTCTGAACCTCGACATAATCAACGAATGAACCAAGATTTAGCCAGGTGATGATCCTTTGATGGCCTTGGCTTCCAGCCCCCTGCGGGACACCGGGACGCAACCTGTGGTTGGCACAAGGGATGCCCATGTCCGCGATTTTCGGTCACAAAAAACTGCACAAATCAGTTGATGTCATGGTTAGCAATGACACTGAGGGCATTTGTTTCCCCTTTGCTCGGGTCAAATTGGACCTCAACAGGACAATGTTGCAGTGGTGGAAGAGGGCAATTTCGCAGGAAACAGGCCTAGAAACTCCTGGGTAGTTGTGTGGGTCTTGCAAGTTTCATTAAAGGATTGCGGGAATAGGGACCTCAATGATTTTACAGTTTGATAATCATCAACTAAAATTAATAATCCCCAGAAAAGATAGAAAAGTAATTCATCAGTACTTTAGTAGCATTTTGTTTCCCTATTTTTTTTTGTGAGGGGGTGCTACAAGCCATACTCCCTGTCTTAGTCAGGCTGACCAACAAAGGAGCTCCTTGGCGGCCACGGGTGTGGGATGGACACGCGAAAGGAACATCTGGCTTTGGAAAAAATGATGACCTGGCTGGTTGGTTGGTGGTTTGGAACATCTTTTTATTTTTCCATATATTGGGAATAATCATCCAAACTGACTATATAGTATTTTTCAGAGGGGTAGGTATACCACCAACCAGATTATTATTTCCCATCATTAACCATATAATAACCATATAATAACCATATATTAACCATTATTAACAGTATATTAACCACATATTAACCATATTAACCATTATAAATGGGTATCCAAAACCATCTGTTTGCTCCCGAGGTTGATGCCATTGTCTCGAGTTTGGGCAGTGATCTCACGACTTTGAACCTCTCGGCCTCTCGGCGCGAAGATATGCACAGGGGCGTTGGGGAAATGTCTCAACAGAAATCCTCCCGGATCATGTGAAATACCTTGATATACCCTGCATGAATGGGTATAGAAATACAAACATGCCATAAATACTGGGTATATATATATACAATACATACTGGGTAAATAAATACCCCTCATACTGGGTATATATATATATATAATATATATATATATATATAATGTTAGAAACGGTCACTCCATTGATCAGAAACATGACTTACATTCTGTGACATTTTCCACTCTTCAGGGATTGGCTGAGGGTGGGCACTCGTTGCGAGCAGCAGTTGATGGAAAGTGGACTGATTTCGTGTTGTTTGTTGTCTTTTCCCCTTTGTCATAAGGGCATCCAACATTGGTAGCGGGGCTCTGGCTCAATCCTCCCTGGAGGATTGAGAAGGGTCGTTTTGTTTCTTTGGGTATTTCAGTCCCACTTCTAGAAACTGCTGCCTGTCGTCATGGCTACTCAAGCTGAAACGGGTGGTGGTGCACAAGATGTACCAGTGAGTCCATCTCCACAACGAGCAGTGGAACCAGTACAGGGTGGCTCAGCAGACCACCAACCAGCCTCTTTTCCTAGCTCCTGGGAACATGTCATGGAAGGTAATCGTGAGGAACCTTCCTTAGCGGCAGATACTGGTAGAGCACGGCAGAGGAGGCAACACAATCGGAAACACCGAAACCAAGCCAGACATGAAGACCGTCGAGATCGTGGAGAACCTAGCTGGCATGGAGATAGCAGGGAACGCTGGCATCAACCTCGTCCCCTGCCAGGTCGCAGACCAGAGTCAGAGACCGGGCAGGTGGATCCACTGATGATCAACGACCCATGGGCAACCAACTCTACACCACTCAGAGCATCGTCGATTCAGGCTCTGCAGAAAGTGGGGGAACGAAGTGCCCGGGTAGAACGACGCATCCGGAGACGACATGTGTCAAGCTCTGGAAGCAACAGTTCTGCCAGTGAGTCATCATCCAGTTCGTCATCTTCCTCCACACGATCGCGCAGGCGGCGAAGAGACAAAAAGAAGAAGGTTGATCATAGCCGGAACGTCAAGATTCCTACCTTTGATGGCATCCAACGCCACTACAAGGAGTACCGTCGAGCAGTGAAGCGGTACACCAAGCTTGTGGGAAAAGAAGGAACTGGCTTGGCGCTTCAGTTGAACCTTTCAGGTGAAGCACTGGAGATCACCCGAACCTTGTCTGCCCGACGCCTGAGAGAAAAGGGAGGGGTGCGTCTCTTGATCTCAACCTTGGATGAAGAGTACCTAGGTCTTCAGGAGGACCGGCTGGATGAAGTCGCAGAAGAGTTCATGACGTGTCGGCGTCAGGCACATGAAAGCATGAGCAAGTACATTCGTAGGCTGAAAGAAGCTCGTCGTGAGCTGGAAGATGAGGATGAGCATATGGTGGTGTCAGACAAGATGTTTGCCTGGATGCTTCTCCGACGAGCTGGCTTGACCAGTGAGGAGAAGTCCCGGTTGCGAAGCGCAATTCACTGCAGTGAAGATCCCCGAGACATTGCCTATGCCTTGAAGCGCTTGTTTCCTGCTCACAAACATGGGCTCCAGCTGGTGAATGACAAGAAGAATGGCGCACCACAGCGTCCCTATGGCCGACCACACGGTGCCCTCATGGCCCACGTCCCAGAAGGTGACAGCGGAACCGAGGAGGGGGATTCAGCGACTAGTGAAGATGACATTTCGGAGGCAGGCGACGATGGTAGTGATGGCAATTCTGCCTCGCCTGAAACGGTGATAGCCGCCATGCAAGTTGTCCAAAGAGCTGAGAAAAGTGGGTATGACGTCTATGCCTTGTACAAGTCTGCGAAGATGCAACAGAGAGGGAAGACCAAAGCCCGTGGCTTCTTCAAGAAGCAGTCCAAGCATCCACAGGGGCAAACCTCTGAGGAGAGGACACGCGAGCTGGAGAGAGCCAAGGCCACTAGCACATGCCGTGCCTGTGGCGAAGTGGGGCATTGGGCCAAGGACCCTGTATGCCCAAAGTACCAGGCGAAAGATGCAAAGAAGAAGGAAGTCTTGATGATGACCTGCCGGCCGTTGACGGCGGGTGGGTGCGAACTGCCTCTGGTTGACAGTTTGGTGACAAAGGCTTCAGATGTCTCATGTCTTTGCCCTCAAGCCCTTGGCATCCTGGACAGCGGCTGTCAGCGAACAGTGATGGGATTGTTTGTTTTCCAGGCCTGGGAGGCCAAGTTGCTGGAACTAGGGATTATCCGTAATCCAGTGCCCCGGCAGAATTCCACGGAAGTGTTTCAGTTCGGCAACAATGGCCAACTGAAGTCTCTTTTCATGGTCACCTTACCTGTTTCTGTTTTCAATGCCAAGCGAGAGTTAGAGATTTGTGTGGTGGCGGGGTCAACGCCACTCCTGCTGAGCCGGCATACCATTTCACGTCTTGGCCTTAGCATAGACTTTGAACAGAACTCAGTCTCCTCTCAGAAACTTGGCTTGCGCGACTGCGCCATTCCAGAAGTCGGTGGCCATTTAGTTTTGGATTTGCTAGCAGACTCGCTAGTTTGCCAGGGGTACAAGGAGAGCGGGGGTGAGGTCGGAATCCTGATGACTGGTTTGAGTGAAGAACCCCAAAAGTCTATTGAGCGCACACTTGACACACATACAGGCACATCCACCGTCAAACCGTTGAAGCAGCAACGACGACATGATGAGTGGTTCCAGGTGGGCATCTATGTGATCCGCATACATCATCAATCTCGACTGACGTTGTTCACACCAGATGACTCTCAGGCATGTCCAGTTGATTTGAATCACCTGGCCCCACACCGAATATCCTTCATTCAGCATGAAGGAAGTTGTGATGAACCACATGTGCATGAAGATCACTGGCCCACAAAACGTAGTAGACCCTTGAAACAGTTGTGGACGGGATGTACGGTTTTTCAACATGTTGTGTCACCAAATATTGAGGAAGGTAGAAACCAGAAACCCCAGGATGTTCATCGGCTGATTGATCCTTTGTTGATTTCTGGGTTATGGCCTCTTCCCCCGAAACAAACGGGAGATCATACGGGATTGGTAGAAAAGGAAACACCAAATGCTAGGGATGAGTCTGTCGGGAGCTCGGCTTGGAACTTAGCTTCACAGGAAATGCATAAGTCCGGACCCAAACAGGTAGCATCCTTAGCAGCATCACCCTTAGTGGCCTCAACGTTAGAGCCAGCGCCTCAGCCTCAATTGTCGGATTCCTTAGCGTTTGATGCCTGGTCGAACCAAGCATGTCCGGCACTGTCTCAGTGCCCCGGGGCCGAAACGTGGGTGACTCCAGGGTTGTGTAGGATGGACTCTGTGGACCAGTTGAGGTCCTGGACAAGTGACATGTTAGCACAGATGTCAACCACTGGCCTGGCAATCATGTTTGATGAAAGGAAGAATATGGTAAAAGGGCAGTCTTTTCACATTCACGACTCGGGAAATGCCGTGAAACCAGAAGAAGGTAACACCGAGTGTTGGCTGTGGCATGCAACCATGGGAAAACGGAAGTTGTTTGCCGGTATTTTAAAGCACTCAAAGTATCCCTTGACCCCTCGGTTTTTGAGAATCAGTCTTCGCTACCATGGCCATGTCGAAGCCCAACGGACCATCCGTGCCCACGCACATCAAGTGCGATTTGTGCTGGAAGGGTCCGGTGCCTCCACATCGTCATGTGAAGAGCTCCGGCATTCCCAAGACCAAGGAGGAGTTGCTGACCGGACTGCTGGCGATACCTCAGGTCACCTTGACACGGGAGACCCTCATGACTTTGAATGTGAAAGAACTCAAGCACCTCTTCCGAACTCACCGCGGGTTCAATGCTCATCCAGCGTGTCCATGCACACGCCTTTCCCAGCTGAGAGTGGCAGAACTGCAGACGATGTGTGCTCAGCACAATCTCATCACGAGTCCAGCGACTCGCTCCGGAGAAATGCAATTGATGCTGCGGATGCACTGGGAGGAGCAGTGCCAACTGGCAGAGGGAGTGCTCTTTCAGCAGATGACTCCGGCAGTGACTCCGTCGACTGCCACGACAAAGCCAACTGCTCCCCCAGGGCTCTCTCCAATGATGGAACCAGTCAATGTGCCCGTTCCGATGGGGAAGTCGAGCAAGAGGAGCAGCCAGGAGGAGGACAACTGGGATGTTCTATCAGATGTGGAAGGAGGAAACGAAGAAGTCATGCGCCAGATCCGAGAAGCCGAAGCTGCAGCCCAAGAGGCATTGACACGGGCAGCGACTCTCAGGGATGCCCATTGCCTGCCGCCCAAGAACCGGGTGGCCCCGATGCCGAAGGCAAAGATTCCACCAGCCCACAGTCGCTGATGGATGCCGAGGTTTCCTTGTATAATCAGCTTTTTCAGTGTCACCGGAAGACATTGTCCAAAGCTGAACGTCGGCACTTGCTCGACGATCTTGAAGTCTATGATGCCATGATTCAAGATGTGGCATGTTTGAACGCCAGCGTAGCACCTCGACCGAGCTGCCGGAAAAAGCCGGTGCTGCTGGAAGTGTTTGCAGGGTCCATGCACTTGACACAAGTGGCTTGCCAGAGGGGGCGGACATGTCTGCAGCCTGTGGATGTTGACATGGGAAACAACGGAGTTGATTTAACAAGCTCTAAAGGACAGGCCGAAATTGATGCAGTGATCGAACAACAACAGCCTGACCTAGTCACTTGGGCCCCTCCTTGTGGACCATATTCTCCTTTGCAAAACATCATGCCTCGAAACGCGCTTCGTAGGCACAGAAAGTGGATCAAGTTGCTTCGAAAACGAAGGGTCACTGGACAGTTGTGGAAGTATTGTTTGAAACACTTCAAAAACGAAAAGGGTAGGAAACGGCATGTACAAGATGGTCACACCTTTCATGTCGTCGAAAACCCATGGTTGTCGGCAGCTTGGAAACAATTTGATTTTCCTGGATATCATGCTCGAGTGGATCAGTGTCGTTTTGGGCTGAAAATCAGAAAACATGACCGACGACGAGTCAAGAAGCCAACTCGTCTTCAGTGTAGCGACAGCAGGCTGCCCCCGTTGTTGGAAACACATTGTTCGTGTCCTCAGGTGTCAGGTCAGCCAAGACATGAGCATATCATTTCAGGAGATAAGATCAATGGCAAGTGGGTATCTAGGTCCCAGCGGTGTGGTGCATGGCCTTCACAAATGTGTCACCACATCTTAGCCATGGTTGAACATGTTCTCGGTTGGCATGGTCATGTTTGTGAGACTCATGTGACTCAAACAGGACAGTCGGACTTTTTGCTTCCATATGAGTGCTTTGCTGAAGAACAGACGCATAGGGAGGAAACGGAATCACAACCCAGTCCGGAGCTTAACCAGTCCGAACCTCAGTCCGAATCTCAGAAAACCAACGATTTAGACCAGTTGGTCTATCGACTTCACTGCAAGTTTGGGCACCCAGCCAATTCGATGTTGGCCCGGACTTTACGTCTGGGTGGAGCAAGGGCAGAAGTTGTGGAGGCAGCGAAACGAATTCGCTGCAGCACGTGTGACCGGGTCAGAGCCCCTAAGGACCCTCCCAGGGTTGGTGTTCCCAAAACTGATCAGTTTAATGAAGTCATTGGGGTGGACCTCTTTTATGTGCAAGACTGCAAACAGCAATCTCACATGGTTCTTTCCATGGTTGATCATGCGACCACTTTTCATGTTCTTCGGCTTGTTCCCAAACGTAGTCCCAAAGACGTTGCTGTGCTGTTCTCTGAAGCCTGGGTTGGTACTTTTGGGGCCCCAAAACAGATCATTTACGACCAAGGGAGTGAATTCAAAACTGAGTTTGAGGAATTGTTAATGTTTGGGGGAACCATGTCCACAGTCATTCCGGTTGAAACACATTGGCATGGTGGGGTCGTTGAACGACATGGAGCCACTGCCAAAACTATCATCCGAAAATTGGTGGACACGCATAGTACCTTTGAGGTGGAGGACATGAGGCTTGTCTTGCAGGAAGCTGCAGCTGCCAAGAATAGCATGTCACGACAGAGTGGTTTCTCACCTTCTCAATGGGTTTTTGGATATGACAACCCTCTTCCTGGTTCTGTTTTGGACCGACCACATGACATGGCCATTCATGATAACATACAGGGAGGGGGGAAAATGGCACTCAAGTTGAACATGCGTGAGACTGCACGAGCCACTTGGGTAAGACTGGACAATTCAAACCGCATCAGGCGGGCTCTCCTGGGTAGACCACGACAACAAAAGGAAAGTTTTGTGGCAGGGGAAATGGTCTATTTTTATCACTTGCAACATGCTGGCAGACCAAATCAGGCTCGGTCCAATCATACTCAGTCTTGGCACGGCCCAGCAGTGGTGGTAACTCAGCAAGGAACGGGTAGCCTGTGGCTCAGTTGGCGTCGAACCTTGTTGAAAGTTCCTGTTGAAAATGTCCGCTCTGCCACCGAAGAAGAGGTAATGGGACATCACATGGTTCAAGATGAGCTTCAAGAACATCAGAAACAGTTATCAGGACATGGTTCCAAGCCACGCGGGTTTTTGGACCTTACTGGAGTTAACCCCCCAACTTTTGATGACCACGTAGTTCCTCTGGCTCCGGGCCAGCAAGTAACTACTGAAAGTGTTCCTGCGGTTGGGAGGGTTAGGTGTAGAGGTAAACAGCCACCACCTTCGGGTTTTTATGAAGAGGGTGAAGCACCGCCGCCACCGATGGCGGATGAACTTATGGAATCACCAGAGCACCTGGAGGGAATTGCCCAACAGGATGACTGTGTCCAGCCCTCAGAGCCAGATCCTCAGGTTGGCAATGACCCTAGTAGTGTGAATCAAGACGCGGTTGTGCCGCCCCCAGTTGTGGAGCCCTCAGAAGTCGGTCCCTTGGATTATGCTGTCCCAGCACCAATGAATGTTGATGACAATGAGATGGGTGATGACATTGCGGATAGCCCTGAACTTGGTAATGGGGGTATTCAAATGGGGGATGGAAATGAGTGGGTAAAAGGGAGATTTGAGGAACTGGATGTGATCGAGCGTCCATACGGACCAGTGAAAACTTGGAAAGAAAATCTGCAGGAGAGACAGAAAGTGAGAGAATCGGTGAAGGCTCAGGCCACCAAACCATTTTCTAAATTGAGTCATGGCCAGGCTCCGGCCGACGGCAAAAAGAAGTTGAGTCGGTTTGATGTGTTCTTGCAAGAGCGACAACCACCGGCAGTTCATGATGTTTTCTTTTCGGAGTGTCAAATGCTGCAGGAGCTAGAAGCTCTTGAGACTGAGGGATTTCGAAAGTGTCCTGTTGGTTTTCATGAGGTTGCCTGCCAACACTGCAATTGTGTACATAAACGCATTGCTCTTGTGGCAGGAGTAGATGAACCTGTGGAGAGGGAAAACAGCATGACTAAAGAAACGACCAAAACGGCCAAGGAATACAAATTTCACAAGTTGACTTCAGATGAACAGAAACAGTTTCGGGCAGCCATGAATAAGGAATGGCAAAGTTTCCTTGACCTGAAAGCAGTCAAGATCATTCCAGCTCACCAAGCCCGTGACATCCCGCGCGACCGAATCTTGCCGACCCGGTTCATTTTGACCAACAAAGATGACACTGGCAAAACTCTCATTTGCAAGGCCCGAATGGTTTGTGGAGGTCACTTGGATCCAGACATCAGTCTCCTTCGAACAGATGCACCGACAGCTGACACCATGGGGGTGAACTTGGTCTTCCTTTTGGCCTCTTGCTACAAGTGGGTCTTGCAAGGTGGCGATATTTCTACTGCCTTTCTTTCGGGTGTGTTTGATCATCGGGCCCTGTATCTCAGACCCCCCAAAGAAGGGTTGCTTGGAGTCAAAGATGGGGAAGTTCTTGAAATGCAAAAGGGAGTGTATGGACTTTGCAACGCTCCCAGGTTGTGGTGGCGACGACTTCGACAAGTCTTAACCGAAGTAGGATTCGAAGAAATGAGAATGATGCAATGTGTCTTCATGTACTGGGCTCGTGATGCTCAGGGGAACAAACGCTCTCTCATGGGAGTTCTGGCTGTGCACGTGGATGATCTCGTCATCGCTGGTTGCTCTACCCTTGAACCTATTTTGGGGAAGCTCAAAGAGAAGTTGACTTTTGGAAAATGGTTCGTTCGTGAGTTCGATTACCTGGGGAGACATGTGAAACAGCGAAATGATTTCTCAATTGAAATTTCACAACCTAACTACCCAGAGAAAATACCGAAGGTGCCAATCACAAAAGAACAGCTTTCTCAGGAAGATGCTGAGGTCACTGAGGAAACACGTGCAGACCTGAGGAAAACGGCTGGAGCAGCCTGTTGGCTAGCGAAGTCAACAAGACCAGATTTGAGTTTTGAAGTCAGTTTTCTGCAGCAGAGTTTGTCGCAGGCCACATATGGAACTGTGAAACATGCCAACACCTTAGTGCGGAGATCTCAGCAGTTTCAGTATTCTCTTTTGATTCCAAGCATCGACCTTAGCAAAGCCACTGTAGTTGCAGTCAGCGATGCTTCTCCGGGGAAGATGCCCCGACAGGGTTCTCAAGGGGGGATGTTTCTGTTGGTCACCACTCCTAACATTGTTGAAAAACGGGTTCCTGTGGCTTGTATGTATTGGCTTTCCCACCGTTTGAAACGCATTGCCCGATCTTCCATGGCTACTGAGAGTATGGCTTTGTGTGAAGCAGTTGAACATGCTGAGTTTCTTAGGGCTTGTTTGTGTGAGTTGTTGAACCCCCAGTTCAATTTTCGGGACTGGGAACAAAGCACTTTGGTGCTGCCTTTGATAGCAGCAACAGACTGCAGATCAGTGTATGATCATATTTCGGCAGAACGTGGTTTGCCGAGAGATCGAATCTTAGCACTGGATCTTGCAGCCTTGCGAGCAGTTTTCGAAGCCCAACTCCGTGAAGGTGCAGAGGGCAGGAACGCAACTCTTCGTTGGTTGCCAGGCCCACACAATTTGGCCGATGGGTTGACCAAGTATGTGGCCATGCAGTCATTGATTATCAGCGTGATGAGCCAAGGACTGTATACATTGGCTGACGAGGAGACTCTTATGCACCAAGCTGCACACACGCGCAAGCTTTTGAAGGAAGTTCACTCAACCCAGTTTGTCAGAGATTACAACCAGAAAACCCGTAGATTGGACCCCTGGCAATAACAGTTTCTGATCAAAGAATTTTTGGGGAGTGTTAGAAACGTTCACTCCATTGATCAGAAACATGACTTACATTCTGTGACATTTTCCACTCTTCAGGGATTGGCTGAGGGTGGGCACTCGTTGCGAGCAGCAGTTGATGGAAAGTGGACTGATTTCGTGTTGTTTGTTGTCTTTTCCCCTTTGTCATAAGGGCATCCAACATATAATATATATATAATACTGGGTATATAAACGAAACCATGGGGGAGGCTTTTCCTCCGCTGCGCCAGTCGCCGAGGCAAACTCCTTCGATGGCCATGGACTGGAGGTTGGGGGTTCCACCAGTCATGCCGAAGATTCTGGTGATTTCTGCTCTCAGATGTTGTTTCAATCAATTTTTTTCCCAATAGATCAGGTTAGGCAATTTTCTGCCTGATAGTTAATAGTTAATTTCCTAACTATTTTAAGTTAATAGTTAATAGTTAATTTCCTATCTAATTTGTTGCCAAAAGGACTATTTAGATCATTTTGTATCATTTTGTATCATTTTGTATCATTTCGTATCCATTCATTCAAGAATCCCTTAGCCTTTGTTGGTGGTTGGTTGTTTCAAACACCTCTAACCTAAGCGTCATACTCTCTGGATGGATGGCTTAAGCCAGCAAGATGCAGCAACTGTTGACTATCAACGAATTAGTTCCCCACAGGATATGGGTATGGATCAATACCTATAAGTACCATTTTTAGGGTGATGAACATCCATTTACCAGCTATTTTGAGGTTCACCAGGGGTACAAGGTTTTGACCCATCCCCATATTGATGCTTGAGCCGGTGTATGCATGATTTGCACATACTCAATACATTTCTTACCAGTAGTACCGCACAAGGCGGTGGCGGAAGTTTCAGAAATAGGAAACCTATAGGAGAGGTTGGTTGTTGTGAATCACGGATGGCAGAGCGAAGCCACTGATGGACTGACAGGTGGTTGAGGTCTCCTCTCTTTCTCTCTCTCTCTCTCTTTCTCTTTCTCTGACTATCTACCTACCTACCTACCTATCTATCTATCTATGTATGTATGTGTGTATGTATGTAATGTAATGTAATGTAATGTAATGTAATGTAACGCAATGCAATGCAATGCAATGCAATGCAATGATGTATGTATGTATGTATGTATCTATCTATGTATCTATCTATCTATCTATCTATCTATCTATCTATCTGTCTACCTACCTATCTATCTACCTATCTATCTATCTACCTATCCATCTATCTATCTATCTAGCTATCTATCTATCTATCTATCTACCTACCTACCTACCTATATCTCGCTCTCTCTGTCTGTCTGTCTGTCTATCTATCTGCAAGCTTGAAAACGAAGCTATTCTGTGAGACTTCCTCAGTTTTTGCACTTGACAACATCAAAAACGAAGCAATTCTGCGAGACTTCCTCATTTTTTAAGTTGACAACATCAAAAGCAAAGCAATTCGGCGAGACTTCCTTCAAAAATGGAAAGTTGAGTACAGAGCTGACAGCCTGGTACCAATGCGTTTTGCGTTGTTTTTTCCACTCCACCTGTCTAAAGTACTGCGCCGACGACGAAAAATTGATGCCCGGTCATACGAAGTGCTGCGCATGTCACGCAAAATCATCTTAGCAAACCTGAAGATCTGAGGCTCCAAACTGCAACCCCTCTCAGGAAATCACCACGCGGACCTCCTAACAGCTCCGATGAAGATGTCTCTTGTATTGCGCCTGCCACGGAAAATGCATCTTTGCAGATCCTCTTCAAATTTCCCACGCCTGCCATCGTTTTTGGAAATGTTACAAAACCCTCACGTTTTCTCACTTTTGACAAGGTGCACAATCCCTTGCGCCTGCCACGCGAGACGAGATCTGAACGTCCAAAAGTGGTCCGTGCATGGTGTGCTTTGTACATGTTGACTTCGAAATGTGCTTCGCGCCACAATGGCGTGCACCTTTTTGACATCGCAACTTCCAAAAGTGGTCCGAAAAAGGTGTGTTTTGTATATTTTGACTTCGAAATGTGCTTCGCGCCGCGCCACAACGGCGTGCGCTTTTTCGACATCTCAACTTCAAAAAGTGCTCCTAACGTGAGGTGTTTTTTGTTTTTTCACTTGCAAATGTGCTTCGCGCCACAACGGCGTGCAATTTTTCACCTCTCATCTGCCCAGCGGGCTCCGCACCCGCCGCTTTAGCGAGCCTACTTTTCGACCCTCCGGAGCCACAACTCATTGGAAAAACACAGTGGTTCGCGACTTTCCTACCTTTTCGCGCACCTTCATCTTCTTTCTTCTGACTCTTTCTCTTCTCTGATCTTCTCTCTTCTACTCTTCTCTTCTCTCTGACTCTTCCCATCTCTGCTTTTCATCTGTCCATATTGTCGGAAGTTTGACTTCTAAACTTCCTTCGAATACATCTTAGAACTGGTATCCCAAGATTTCCTAATTATGAGCCCGACCACATCTTCGATGTTTCCTGTTCCAAAGATGTTCCACTTGTATGAGATGAAAACCGGATATTTGATGATTTGTCTACATACTGACTACAACATGCTACAACTTCAGTATAACCGATTGATTCTACAGATGTATGATCAATACTTGCTGGTACACTCAGTTCACTCCAGTCAGGACATGGGTTACTACCCCATTTATATCTATATATAGTGAATTATAGAGTTAATGATATATCAATAGATGGATTACCCCAGTTATAAACCAGTTAGATATAGTTTTTTACCTGAGTTGGGACATGTTAGTATATCAAGTTAGCAACGTCGTGTTGTCACGGCAGTCTGTCCTGAGCTTCATCCGTCGCGCGCCGAAACTCACGGTGCGCAACAAGGGGGGCCGAAAATGGGAGATTTTGACCAGGAACAATGAGGATTTCATGGGATATTCAAGGGAATATAATAATTATGGGATATATGTATATAATATTTATACAATTTGTACATTACTGTATGATATATATATATATTATCTTAATATACAATTATATTATATATATATATATCATACAGCTATCTCATGTGACCTGGGTCTATCTGAAAACGAACTATACCCCCAAGTTATGGCCATTTTAATCGGGAGAATAATGTTAATTCATTCGAATTAAAGGTACCCAATCTTCAGACAAACAAAACTTGGATTCATCAGGACCGATACTAACAGCAGCAACAAATGACAAGTACTTATGCCATCAACACCAATGGAATGATCAGGGACTGTATTGCGTTGGTGTAACTTGCAAGATCCCTCACTTCCAAAGAAGGGAACCAGTTGCTTTACATCCAGTCCACTTGGTGGTGGGTTGAGGTAGCATCAACTACGTGGGGATGTGGGTCAAATGTTGAGAGCCTATAGGACCCCACTAAATCCCGCAAATGCAGACATTTTTGATGATTATGATGATTGTTGTGATGTTTTGTTCATGATTTACCGATTCACCCTGGCAATTTTAGCGTATCCAACTTTGAGCACAACCCCATCTCCATTTTTACGGAGGCATTTTTGGGTCAGGCCAGGCAGCCGCGATAATGGCAGCCGTTGCCATTGCCGTTGGGGGTGGTTGGGCCTGGCGGCCCAGGGGTGCCAAAGAGGCCCACCACTTTCTGCCGGACTTGGAGCTGGAGGCGTTGAAATCGGATGATGCCACAGTGAAAGGTGGCGTTGAGAGGCCCATTTCAGGCGCAATTGATGCCATTCAAGATGGCATCAACGACCTCAAGGCGCAATTGGAGAAATCTGCCAATTTCGTCACCGAGGCGATCAAAGCTGCCTTTTTCACAAGGAACAAGAGCCTGCTCGCCATTGTCGAAGATCATGAAAGTATGAAGGAGACTGAGGAAACAACTCAGCATGATGAGCATCTCCGGAGGTATGGAGGTCGCTTGTTGGGTGGCTCGGAGTGTGATCGCGCCAAAGCTGCCAGCGCTCAAGAGACCTTGGTGCGTCAAGCCACGGTCCTGGACGGCTGCCTGGATGGAGGGCAGTACCTGCCGGTCTTCTACATCTTGAAGGATGAATTGATCTTGAGTCCTGTGAATATCTCCCTGACCATGGGCTTCACTGCCATGCCCTTCATCTTGAAGCCTGGATTGGCAGTTGCCAGTGATCGTTTGCCGATCTTTGGAAGGAAAAGAACTCCATATTTGGCTGGAAGCATGATCCTGGTAGCTGGCACCTATGCGGGTGCTAGCCTGGCTCAATCCTATAGCAGTTTGTTGGGCTTTCTTTCCCTGAACACCTTTGGGCGCTGTTTGATGTCTGCCGTGCTGCAAGGCATGGTGGTGGAGCTTGCACGGCAGGAAGGCAAAGAAGTCTCTGCCGTGGTGGGCGATTTCTTCGGGTTGAAAACCTTCGCTGCTTTGTTTAGCGCGCTCTTCAGCAGCATGGTCATCGGCAGGTTGGGGTCTCGCTCAGCCCTGCGCGTTTGCGCCATGGCACCCTTGGTGATGCTGGCGGGAATTGGTCGCTGCGAAAGGGAAGGTGGAGAATTGGCCTTTGTCCTGTCAGATCAGACGCAGGCCTGGGCTGCACGGAGTCCTATGAGTGTCCCAGCTCCCTTGAGTGAGACCAGCAGCTTGTCGGAACTTCTACAATGTGTCAGAAATCCTGCACTGTGGGGCCCCCTGCTGTTCCTGGTGGTCTATAGTGCAGGCCCTGGCTATGACGATACTTAGAATTACTTAGATTTGTGGAAGGTGATGTTTGTGTTTTTGCATGGGTTAATCCACCTAAGTGGGGACTCTTCTACTTTTTTTTTGGTAACCTGAAGCAAATCCGAGGATAGCTTATATTTTTTCTACATCAATCGCCTGAGATTTCGCCCTACCGCTGTGGGACGCTTGAAGATGGCACAAGAGCTGGCAAAACTCATTGGGAACCCTGGATTTGCATGGATTTGCTGTTTCGTTTTTTCAAATTGATTCTTTGTTTTCCCCCTAGGCCCCCAAATCCACCACTTGCGATTTGTTTCAATCAAATCGCCATATATTAAGATATTAAGATATAATAGGATAACATAGACACATGATTTTTTGATTTTCCCTATCATCCACCGCAAGCGCAAGTTTCGGGTCTGAAAATGGACAGGATCCCGAAAATTGCAGCTGCATTGGGAAACCTGATTATTCATCAGTGGAAATTACCAAATGTTTGATCAAAACATGTCAAAACAATTGGGAAATCCACTCAACATAATATCTCAAAACATATCATACTGGTTGGTGGTTTGGAACATTTTTTATTTTCCATAATATATGGGAGAATCCTTCCCATTGACTTTCATATTTTTGAAGATGGTTAAAACCACCAACCAGATATATATATATTATGTTAATTATATTATATATATAGGGCTTGGCGAAACACACCTGGAACGCCCGTTTTGGCATCTCATCATCCCGGGAGAACTTGCCGTAAAATTTTGGGACAACACCAGGTATCCCCATGAATGAAACCAGTCAGTATGAGCCTTTTCATAGTAGATAATAGTAGATAATATACTATAGTAGATCATAGTATATACTATATAATATGTGTATATATTTTTTTAAATAGATAATATTTGTTCTCACCCTCCATGCAAAACAATTTACTATAGTAGATAATTACCTAGATATATGATATGGAACATCCAGCATTTGTCGATCCTTTTCTGCATGGAATTTCCATGTCTGAGTTTTCCCTCAAGGTATATATCCATAATTATCCCCATGGTAAAGATCCCATATGTTTAAGGCGGCTTCATTTTTCCCACTGGCCCCTTCACTCCAGGATCCTGGTCTACCGCTACGCCTTGCGTAGCATCCCCGACCGGGAACTGGTCTTTGGCCTCACGGCGGTCAGTCTGCCATTGTACCTGACGCCTCTGCTGCTGACCACCGGAGCTTACCACAGCATTCCGGTGAGTCCACAGACCCTGGCCGTTTCGGGGGAGTTGGTGAGGGAAGTGGTGCTTCACATGTGCCTGGCTGAAGTTTTCATCGGTTTTCATCGATTTTAGTCTGTCTTTTGTGGTATTTGAACATGTTTAAGCTATTTTCTAATATTTTCATATATTTTCTATGTTTTTCAATCTGTCATCCCTAAAAGAAGATGATCCCAATTCCACCTGACGACCAGTGCCTACGAACAGTAGTTCGGGTGGATTTTTCGCCGCTGAGGCAGTTCCTTCCAGTCTTCTCTCGCTTTGCGGATATGGGGCCCCAGGGGTTGGAGAGCACCAGTGTGTCCCTGCTCTACGCAATGCTGCAGACCTCGCGGGCGATGAATAAGGTGGGAACGGGTCAGGACTGACCGGTCAGTCCACCCCGGTGAAATATGCTGAACTGCCGAAGCGACCGACAAATGGGTCTGTCTGAACAGCAACTGTCATATACTTTCATAATATGGAAGAATGATGAAGAATGACTATAATCCTCTGGATTTTGGGGGTATGCCCTATTTTCAGACAAATCCACATCCCAATCATGTTCCCAGAAATTCGCGATGTTGGGGCTTTCATCACTCCACCAGGTGACCTCTGCCGGCATGTCGCACCTTCTTGGAGTCACAGCTCATAACTTTCATCACCTTTCGTTGTTGATCATCCTCTGCGGTGCCTGTGCCACCCTGCCGTTGCCGCTGGCCCAGTTCATCCCAGAAAACGCCACCTGGGCCCATCGTTTGGCGACGGAGAGGGAGGAGAGCCTGGCGGCTGCCAGCGAGCAGCTTCCGGCGCCGGGTGGGTTGCGTAGTTTGGGGATGGAGCGGATGGAGGAGGACCAGGAGGAGTTCATGGAGGTTCGTTTGCCAGCGGCGTGCCGTGAGAGTGACGCTGAAGGTGGCCAAAGATGCACTGGACAGCGTGAGGCTCGAGTGAACATGCCAATGTTGGGTGAGGCTGCAATGCCTGCAGGGTGAAAAGAAGTGCTTATGACAGTTGCAGCAAGCCATTTGCTAAAGACTTGGACGATGAGTTTTGGCCTCTGGGTCGCCAAGAAAGTGGAGGATGCTTTTGACAGGACATCAACCTCTCCGGGAACAAACTCTCGGACAGCTCTGCGCAGAACTTAGATGGCAATTTGCAATGAATCCCACCGATCCCTTGCGCATTGATTGTTATTGAATGGTTTTGAGTTATATAAAGTTATATATGCAAATATTATATATAATTACTCATACTATACATTTTAATTAACAGATTATATGATACGTGTATATCACGATAAGTTTATGACATGTGTATATTATGTTACATACAATATATATATATATAATTATATATATGATACCTAGATTTAGAAACATATGGTCATATTTGGAAATTATCATTATGATTAAAACAATACTGTTTTTTTAACAAACATATCATTATGATTATCATTTATATATTATTACTATGTATATTATCTATATTGTTATTATATATATACGCCTCTATGGAATACTGCAATTACATATATATATATATTCTTCTTTATATAATATGTATACATACTATACCTACCTACATATATATATATATATATATTGACCATATATATATATATATATACATATATATATATATACATATATATATATATGTAGTATAGAATATACACAGATTCCATGTTCCAAAGTTGTTTGGCCCAAGGTCTCCCGCCTTTGTTTACAGCTCAGTCAGCATTGTCAGCACCTGCGGCGGCTCAGCCTCTCGGTGCCTTGGCGGAATGGGAGCGTGGGATTCCAGGGGGATTTCATGGGATTTCACTGGGAAAAATGGTGGTTTCACTAGGGAAAATAGACAAAAATAGTGGTTTTACATGGTTTTACTAGGGAAATTTCATGTTACAACTGGTGATTTCATGGGAATGGGATTTACGAACTAGGTAAATGGTGTTTTTTTGGAAGTTTCGAGAAGATAGAAAAGTAAGATCATGCTAAAGTTACTGTTGTTGTAAGTTACTGTTCTACCTGTTTGGGCGCTACATAATTAATATAAGCAATTAAAATCAAAAGTCAACTATGGCCAGGGTCACAAGAATGTGGTAAAACCGACGGACCCTTGGGGTGTCAAGCATCCCAAAAGCTGAGAGTTAAGAGACCAAAGCATGCTTGGGGACCAAGACATGGGACCTATCCGAGTAACAACAAAGGGGTGCATGGCCCCATTCTATGGCCATTTTTGCAGACCATTGGATGGAATGAGAATCCCATAAATTTGTGACAGCCATTGGGTATAGCGAAAAATTCAACCCACAAGTGGTCAGATTGGGTATGTGCAGTATGGCATGGTATGGATTATAATTGGGTTTACCATATCAGCCTCAAAAGTAGATGGCCCCAATTCACAGTTTCCCAAAATTTGCAGGGTAGGTGGCCTGAAGTCTTTGCACTTGCTACGAATACGTTTGGAGGAATGACTAATGCAACAAGCGAGTTCCGTTTTTTGGGGTTGAACTGTTGTCAAACACCGCTAGCAGAATCCCAATGAATCACCATGAATTCACCATTCCTAATCAATCAGCATTATCCATTCTATTCCATTCCCTGGTTGGTGGTTTGGAACATGAATTTTATTTTCCATTTCATAAAAAAGGGATGTCATCCGAAACCCATTGACGAACTCCATGATTTTTCAAGATGGGCACATTGCACCACCAAGCAGTTCCCAATGAATTACCCTCTGGTAATTTAACAATATTTAACATAGCTATTGAAAATGACCATAGAAATAGTGGATTTTCCCATGAAAAATGGGTGGATCTTTCCATAGCTATGTTGGTTTACCGTACCATGAATCCCCCTTTGTCAAATTTCTCATTCCCAGCGCAGCGCCTCAGGATGTTATGATCGGCTGGGATGGCGAGACTGCTGGAGCTTCTTTGGGCAGCTTGGTGCTGCGCCCCAGCGGTCCCGGTTGTCACCGCTTGTCCCAGTTCGAGGGATGTGCTTCCTATCCGTAAATACCAGGGTGTTTCATCAATTTGTGAACTCTATAAAGTAAGAAACCCAAGAAACCCTAATATTGCCAGGCGTAGTTGGAGGTTTATCATTAGGTTCACCACATTTACATGGTGAATGCAGACAAATCGATACAAATAGGGGGTATAAGACGGGAAAAAGCATGTAAAACCAGGTCAATGTAGGTTTTACTGCATTACACCAACCCCAAAAAAGATCGAAACATCACTTCCAATCCTAAACAAATCGCAAAAACTCCCACTTTCAAAGCTTTCCCTTGTAATTAAATTCCTAGTGATTTTCTACCTTTTTGGGGCCTAGGCCCTCCACCGCCGCTTCGGTGCAGGTCACGGTGCTCAAGATGAAAAACCTGGACGTCGCTTTGCTGGATGCGGTTGGGGGGGATGGGGTAACTATCTCAAGATGAACATTTCAGACATTTCAGGTTACCCTCTGGTAATTTAAGAGTTAGCTATTGAATATGTCCATAGAAATGGTGGATTTACCCATTGAAAATGGTGGATCTTTCCATAGTTATGTAAACGTTTACCAGAGGGTTATGATTATTTCTATGAATTAAATTAGAATGTACTCAGAAGATCTCAAAAGTATGAACATATTTTGGAATGTGGATTCAAGCATCACAAGTTGGGCGGGACTTAAAAGACGTAGCATTTTCATGTTGGATGCTCGACATGCCATCCCAAGCAATACTTCCCCAACAGTATGGGAAAGGATCCACTATGTGCCCCCAGAGTTTCTGAGGGATGTTTATTAGTACAGGCAATGGAATACTGTCATATCCGACGGAACTGACATGATTCCTTGGGCCGCATGGGTCAAAAAGAAAGGTACGCTTGGTGCGAAGATATAGAAAACATCGAAAGTTGAACCCCTTAGCTTAGAAGGTTAACATACATATACTGTATATATATATATACATATATATATACATATATATATATACATATATATATACACATATATATATATACATATGTATATATATATATACACAGTAGAGTTCCTGTGTAGGTGGCTTGGATGAACATCGTTGAACATCCGGCACTGGAATAGTTTTGCAATTCAGCAATGCCAAGCCCCCAGTTATGACCACTTCCATGGAGAAGACATGAGAAAACCATCATTATCCAGTGGATTTGGATGGATTTTGGTGGGTTCTTCCCCTAACTGTTCGGACACACCCAAATATCATATCTACGTTGGGCATACATCCCTTTTATATCCCTATTCTTGTTGGTTATATCATGTGATATCCCCATTAAGCCCCCATTCGCCCCCCATTTTCAGACATAGTCGGGTAGCAACTCAGGTCAGTTTCAACGCCCTCCATGGGCAAGGCTGGTAGATGATGGTGAACGGTCTGAGATGAAAGCAGATTTGCTAATGCCATGCAATGACAAGGTCGATGGATAATCAATGGCAGATGGCAAACGATCAAATCTGATTTATATAATCCAAATATATATATATAATATAATACTATATATATATAATATAATAATACATATATATAATATAATACTATATATATAATATAATACATATATATATATAATAATATATATATATGTATGGTGATGTAATGTAATGTAATGTAATGCAATGCAATGCAATGCAATGTAATGTAATGTAATGTCAGGTATGGTATGGTATGTATATATATATATACAGTATACATACTGTATATTATTATATTTCTATATTCTAACCCCCAAAAAGATCGAAACCGGCCAAATTCTCTCTACTTTCGCTCCGGACCGTACTTTTCGACATATTTTTCTGGGGAGTTTTCTGAGATGGCCATGGCCAGGTGCCGTTGAGTTTCTGAAGAGTTTGCCCAGCTCAAGGCACTGTGGTGAGTTTCTCATTTTGGGGCTATAGTTTGTGCAACACCCTCAGCATTTTGAGTACAGTCATATGGTCATTAAACCATGGATTTTCACATGTCACTTTTGGTGTTTCTCCCTATATTTCATAGGAAAATCCTGATGTTTCCTGTGATTTTTCCCTTAAACCAATGCATTGATATTGGGTTTTACCATGTTTTACCACAGTGAGTAGCATGCAGTGATGTCCTGATGTGCATCGGAGGTTGAGTTGCTTGGACATGAGCTGGAACTGTTTGGGCAAGGCGAAGCCTGGCGATGTACTGCCGGCATCAAGTGAAACAGAAACTGGGGATATTAATGGTATATATATATAACCGACTATATACATACATAAATACATAAATACATATATATATATAGATCATTGATATCCCTATGGTTGTTGGTTATCCCATCTCCCCAGTTTCGAATTAGGCCTATGTGTTCGAATGGCATACTGAGTTACTGGACCCTGGTGGCCTCGGTTTTTTGGTGATGAAACTAACAGGAGATGCTCAATTTTGAATAGATTCATCTCATTTCATCTCCAGATTTTGTTTGTTTTCTCATTTTTGGGGATATACAGATATGAGATGGCTATGTTCCATTTGCAATGTTCACATTTTTGGGGATTTTTTCCTTGCCATGTTTGATGCCCGTTTGATGAGAAGCCGCATATGTCAAAAAAGAGCCGGCACAGCATCAGGGGGCGCAGAGTAGATCCGTGGCAGAAGAGATGTCACAGGCACTGGCTATGGCTGTGAATTTCAGAAAATTCTGGCAATTGATGGGATTTGATCCATAGCGATATATATATATATATACACATACCATACCATTACATTACCTTACCTTACATTACATTACATACATATTATACATACACATACACATATCGCAATTGGATGAATGATATATGGTATCCTGAGTGCATGGGAATGACGATAGGATATTATGCTTGTGTGATATTCACAAGGTTCGGGATATGAACTCATAAGGGTCACCGAAAAGATAGCAAGGTAATTCACAATCCAAATGATATAAACTAGGGATTGTATGGCTTCCATTCTTGGGAAACCCAATGATTTGGGTGTTCAAGTGAGGTCAACAAGCACAAGTTCTTTTTTTAGACGACAGATTCTCTAGCGCTCAATTTTGAAGATGAACATGACGAATCATCATACACTTCAAACTAATTGAAACTATCTGAACTTAGCTAAAGTTACCCTCTGGTAATTTGTTACATAGCTATGGAAAGATCCACCCATTTTTAGTGGGAAAATCCACTATTCCGACTAGGCCATTTTCAATAGCAAACTGTTAGTCATTACCAGAGGCGAAAAGTGCTTGATAGCTGGATCCCCGTCCACGGAGCATCTTCAGCGCCTCAGCGCGGAGCGGAGTCGCAGGTCTTTCAGCGCTGTGGCAGCTTGCAGCATTTGGACGTCTCCTACAACAGCTTCCAAAGCCAGGAGACAACCTGGAGCCGTGACCCGGGATCCGACTGGTTAAAAGTATGAAAAACAACTCAGAATGACAACATATGGCTATGGATCAATACCTATACATACCATTTTTAGGGGGATGAACATCCATTTACCAGCTATTTTGATGTGAACTACAGGGGGATAGGGTTTTGACCCATCCCCATATGACAACCAACACAACTAGGTCTTCGATTTTTTGAGGTCAGCATGGGTCAAATGAAACCAAAATCAACACCTGACATTGAAGTGAAGGTAACAGTACCGGGGCCACAAGGAGCTGGAGATTTTGGCCAAAGGTCTCGCCGCCAACCGTGCTCGGGCCCATCAAAAGGGAAGCGATCGCGCAAGTTTTGGGGGGAATAAACATGATGATGTATCAACATTTATAGCCGTTATCATTTGAACATTTTGAACTCTTTATCTAACAATTTATTGTTATTTCTTGTATCTGGGATGTTGGGAGCAACCCTGAAAAAAGGGCTCCGGCTTTGAATCCACCAGTGATTGGGTCCAACAGGTGAAGCTGGGGTCTTCAGATCAACGTGTCCATAGTTGATGATAAGTTCATAATCAATGGCACATGTCAATCTGTGTATCAATATTGCATATACATCTATAAACATCTAAGAATCATAGTTTATACATGTTTATACCATCTATAGATATTCACATACCAGTAGATCTACAGACACATTACCTTGTATATATGTGTTCTTATTATACACATCATATACAGAGCATGTATATTTCTGCGGCTTGACAGCTAGAATCGTTGCGTTTTCCGGCCCAGATTTTCCGTTCGGAAAGCAATCCATGGATGGTAAATCAGTGGTCGTCCAGTTGGTTGAAGAACCCGCAGTCTTAAGATTCTTTAAGGGGGAAATCTAGCACCAGTTGGTTTTTTCCCAATCCATGGATTGACACCATCCCAGTATCATCTCAGTTTATGATTGTCATCTTTATCTACCTGTATCCCCTGGACAAAATCATCCTGGAAGTGTTCAATCATGATCATGCTCACATTTCAGAGGACGTTTGACAAGTTTTTCATGAAAATCCATATTCTATCAACAGAGGTGAATAGGATTGAATACAAACATTCCATATGTTCCATATTCATAATCCATAATTATTCCATATTATTCCACTGCAGGATGATGATGGCTATGGATGGCTATGGATCAATAGCCATAGCTACTTAAATTCTTGATCCATGAATCATCTATAAATATCTATAAATCATCTATAAATCCCAGGGATTTTGATATTTTTCACTACCAGGGGTACCATTTTTTCCCCTATCCCCTGAGGCACACTGTGGGGCCTACACATCGATGGGAGCGGAGCTGTAGCACTTTGGCGGCGTTATCAAGAAATGATACTTGTAGGAGTTAATGGAAAGATATGGAAAGATCATATCTAGAACTATAACAGAATGACCATTACAAACATTTTACACATGACTATACGATTATGAACAATTATGAACATATGTTTTTGTCATGGCTTGGTAAAGTTTACGCCACATGATTATAACATATTATACCATCTGGTTATGACATTCACAGTTCGCCATGGAAAATCCACCCATGGCTAGGTTCGTTTGATCATCCCATCTCGCTGCGAGGTGGATGCGGATGCCTTCCTGATCCCTCCTGCGGAGTTCAAACCGGAAAGCAACGACCCCAGGTGCGATGCGATGCGGAAGTCAGTTGAGATTTTTCCCAGCTTTGTAACTTTTGTAACATGTTAGGAAGTCATGTTTGCATCATTTTGCATATATTTTTGCGGGCTGTTCAAAAAGGTCGGTGTTTAAAGCTCTTTGAAACAGGATCTCGGTGCCTAAGAAACAGGTCGGAGAGTGGTCGGATCCCTGTTTTGAGCAGCTGCGCGAGGGCACAAAGTGGCCGTAGGAAGAAGAGTAAATCAAAGACCGCCCGGAGATCCCAGTCCGTCGAAGTGCAGTGGAATGATGCAGCCAGAGGAATGATGGTTTTAGGATGTTTTAGGGATATTACTAATATCATGGATAGTCATATCCCTAATAGACCCAATAAAAGAGTGGGATAGTCATAGAATATTACCATGACTATCCATGACTATCCCATGACTATCCCTAATATTACTAATATTACCCAATAGAAAAGTGGGATAGTCATGGATAGCCCTTTGCTGTATTTCGTATTTCAAGGATTTTCATGGGGATCTAGGTGCTTTCAAGTCCCCGATAGGGGGCGGCTTTTCAGGCTTTTGTTTTTGGGAGGATTCTGCTCTCAGCAATTTGATCCTTGGGGACCCGGTTGTGCCACCAACTTTGCAGTTTCCTAGATAGATCTTTTCGAACCCGACAGCAGTGAAGTCTAAGGCCCGAAAGCAGTCGAAAGCACCGAAGAAGGTTTTCTCTGGGGTTGGATTTGGGCTTTGCTCTGAAAGGAATGGACCGCTTGTCTCAAAATTTGGACCCTTTCGTACTATGACTTAGAACAGCATTTTTCTCTATCATGGTCCTGGATTGGGTGCTCATCCCCCATTGTGAGACAACGACAATAATCACCGTTGTTGGTTTATATCCCATCTCAATGGTGCTTAGCAGGGAATGGGGGAATAACATGGAATAACCAATAATGGCTACCATCATCCCATTGCCCCATTACTAAGCACCACTAAGCCATTCTATCCCATGATCTTTCTCTGTTGGTTTACACCCCTATGTTTGTTGGATATTGTTGGTCGACTCCCATCAGAATCCCTAGCCTCTAGCTTGATGATCCAACGTCCGAATTTTGGCTGGTTACTCGGTTACTGTAAATTTTTATCTACTCTAACCCGGTAAATCCAATATTAACCCCCCCATAAACCCTTAAATTTACTACAAATAATTGGTGTAAAGCATCCCCCATTGGAGGTTTATTCGGTTTACCCTCTGGTAATTTAACATAGTTATTAAGTTCGGTACAACATCATTATTTTAAGATGGGTAACATATGGTAACATATGGTAAAGCATGGTAAAATATGGAGAAAAAGATGGTGAAAGATGGTAAAAACGATTGTAACATATGGTAAAACGTGGAGAAACGATTGTAAAATATGGTAAAATATGGAGAAAAAGATGGTGAAACCTATGGTAAAAACATCTGTAAATGGACCAGTTTCTATCCCAAAAAATCTGGAGAGCTGGCCGCTGTGGGAGTGCACTTTTTTCCATGCAGTCATTACATTAATCATTATATTAGTCATTATATTAGTCATTATATTAGTCATTAAATGAATCATTATTTTTATCATTATATGAATCATTATATGAATCATTCTATGAATCATTATATTAATCATCAAATGAATCATAAAATGAATCATCATTATATCAGTCATTAAATAATTCATTATTTTAATCATTTTATTAATCATTATATTAGTCATTATATATATATCATTATATTAATCATTAAAATTATATTAGTCAATGAATTAACAAGTATATCAGCCATTACAAAAATCATTATATTAATCATTATCTTAGTCATTATAAAAGTCATTAAATAAATCATGAAATGAATCACTATATTTATCATTATATGAATCATTATATTAATCATTATATTAACTATATTAGTCATTGCATTAGGCATTATATGAACCATTACATTAATCATTATTTAAATCATGATAATAATCATGATATTAATCATTAAATTCTTCATTTGAATAATCATTAAATTAATCATTTTATTAATCATTATAATAATCATGATGTTGATCATTTTATTAATCATTATATTGATCATTATATTAGTCATTATATGAATTACTATTTTAATCATTATATTAATCAGTATATTAATCATTATATCAATCATTATACTAATCATTTTAACATTCATTATATTAGCCATTGTATTTATCATTATATTAGTCATTAAATTAATCATTATATTAATCATTTTTTTAATCATTACATTACTCATTATATATAAACTCATTAAATTAGTCAGTATTTTACTCATGATATTATAATCATTGTATTCATCATAATAGTAATCATTATATTAATCATTCTTAAAATAAAATCATGATACTAGTCATTATAAAAGTCATTAAATGAATCATGAAAAGAATAATTATATTTATCATTAAATGAATCATTATATTAACCATTTCATGAATCATTATATGAATCATGATATTAATCATTATATTAGTCAATAAATTAACAAGTATATCAGCCATTACAAAAATCATTATATTAATCATTATCTTAGTCATTATTAAAGTCATTAAATAAAGCATGAAATGAATCACTATATTTATCATTATATGAATCATTATATTAATCATTATATTAGTCATTGCATTAGGCATTATATGAACCATTACATTAATCATTATATGAATCATGATAATAATCATGATATTAATCATTAAATTCTTCATTTTAATAATCATTAAATTAATCATTATATAAATCATTATATTAATCATGATATTGATCATTTTATTTATCATTTTATTAATCATTATATTAATCATTATATTAATCATTATATTAGTCATTATATTCATGAAAAATAAGTCATTACATTAATCATTATATTAATCATTATATTAGTCATTATATAAGTCATTAAATGAATTTTGGTTTTTCCATGGTTTTTTTTGCAGTTTGGCCTGGGGGGCGCAGGTGTGCAAATTGTAGAGACGCGCATTTTTTTGAGAGGTACTGTGATGAAAGCATCTTCACATGAAAAACATTCAAAACAATAATGGAAAAAACAAAAAAAAGTTCAGACCCATGGGCAAGGTCTGGGCTATCCACACACAAACCAAAAAACCAAAAAACCAAAAAACCAAAAAACCAAGAAACTAAAAAACCAAAAAACCAAAAAAACAAAAAACCAAAAAAACCAAAAAAAACAAGATTGCACACCCCAAGGGGAGGGGGTCAGATGCAGAGTGTTGGGTCTTGTCTTTTTTTTTTTGTTTTTTTTGTTTTTTTGGTTTTTTGGTTTGTGTGTGGATAGCCATTGCAGATGTGCCAAGCAGAGATTGCCAGGCACTGTCAGTGGTTGCACTAGAAGCAAGGTCGATACACTACAGTACAGCAATGTTTGCTATGACATAGTGCATTCAGCCAATGAACAGCAGAGAGGAATGGAATTCAATTTTGTCCGGTTGCGCCATATGCTGTTGGATCTTTGCACAGGAAATGCTGCAATTTGCGCACTCCCACAGTGGCCTGTTCTGAAAAAGTTCGGGTCGGTCTCCAGGAGGCCGAGGCCGAGATCTCGGTGGCTGGCACCTTGCTGTCACCCCAGGAGCTCGAGGTGCAGGGCTTGGGAGCCAGATCTGGGTGAATTCTATGATTGATATAGATGTATAGATATATAACTGTATAATATAAAATCAATGATGTATATATGGGATATATAAACATTGATATATGGGATATATATATATAACATGAGATAACTCATAACTAAAGTTTCGGGGGTTCATAAACCAACCAGAAAACCTGGCAAAAATGGGGTAAAACCACCATCCGTGGCCAGGTGAGAATGCAGGCTCTGCAAGGGCAGATGGAACTACAGGATCTCATTCAGGACACTGACTCGAACATTGATTGGTTACCAGGGCTTACCAAAATCCTATGGTTAAAATTGCAACCAAAATGGTGGGATTTAAGCAACCAACATAGTGATCATAGTGATCTAATGCGATCAGTTTAAAGCATGGATAAAACCAACATCACCCAAGCATTTACTGATCAAACATATGGGGATAAATTAATAAATTTCATCACTAAAAAACTTTTTTCGTTTTTCTGCCCAGATATGGTGGGAATGTTTGAGGATGTTCATCCTGTGGAATCTGAGGTCTCCTGGGTGATGCACCGATGGTAAACAAACTGTAGCTGCTATTGTAGCTGTTGACCACTCCCCACTGCAAGGTTTCTGGAATCGGAAGATTTGCAGATGCTGAAGAGGTAAGTGATGATTTGGGGAGAATTGGGACATGACTGCAGGATATGATTTTGTGTTGATATATTTGGATCTCAACTTGGAGAATCACTCAGATGCCATTTCGAGTCCACTGTAACCATGTGAACACCACTAAATAGCCAAATACTCGGGGATTCACTACCAACAACCATCTTAGACGATCCTAGCATGATGTTTGCATTGGGTATCATTTGGTCATCCAACTGGTGGATACATCAAACTGTAGATGGGTAAAATATACCCCCTGGTAAATTAACATAGACCCTGAAAATCACCAATTGATAGTGGAAACTAGTCTTCCAACCCCTATCTGCCAGGGTCAAACTGTTAATTTACTGGAGGGTAATTCCCCCCAAAAAACATGACTGGAGGAGGGCCCTTCCTGCACCAATGCCGGCAGGAGTACCACCAACGTGTCGACCAGGAGGAGAAGGTGAACAAACTTGCCGGGTGATTGAAGTGTTCAGGTAAACAAGCAGCAACATCGATGGGAATTTCTCAATTTATGCAGTATAAATTTGTTGGGTGTAATTAATTACGTGTATATAACTGTATACATACATACATACATACATACATACATACATACATACATACATACATACATACATACATACATACAGACATACAGACATACATACATACATACATACATACATACATACATACATACATACATACATACATACATACATACATACATACATGGGTATGTATAATTGTATGCTGTATCGGAATCTTATCCATTTGTACATTTGCAATCATTTGCATAGAGTTGTCGATGATGTTTCTATGCCAGTAAATCTCTCCAAAATGGTGATTTTTCATGGCCGGAAACCCCCATGATTACCGTCTGGTAATTTGACGTAGTTTCACATAGCTAAAGAAAATCACCATTTTAATAGGTAGATCAACACTCACAAAATGGGACATACCAGTTCGCAAACTGTAACAAATTACCAGGTATATCATGGTATAGCAAAAATATCATATTCCCATATATTCCCATGATATCCTTATATTTAGTGAGTGGCATCCCATAAAAGTCATCAAATCCCTTTGACCAGGACCAGATGGAGACGGCTCGGAGGCAGACGACCAACTTGGCCCTAATGGATGCTGCCGAAATCGAAAGGCGGAGTTTCGCGGAGCCGAAAGCCATGGGAAAAACTGGGAGATGTATCAGGAACATCTAAAAGGGGATTTAATGAGATTTAATAATTTGTAATGGGGATTTTGTAGGGATCGAAATGCGCATCTTCTCTATCTATCTATCTACCTACCTATCTATCTACCTATCTACCTATCTACCTATGTAACCAATCTAACCTATCTAACCTATCTAACCTATCCTTATCCTAATCCTATCCTATCTATCTATCTATACACAGTTTGAGGATTTTCATGTTTGGATCTTTTGGGATCTTTTTGGGTATGACTGTACGGTTGAACCCCCTTATGACTGATGGTTTCCTCTGAAATTTGTCTCAAACAAATGGACCTTTTATTTTGGACATGTTGTCTCTGTATAATTCATGATCCTGTAAATTCTGTCTTAATTCTGTCTTAAATCAATCGATATCAATCGATTGAGGTGGGCCTGCCAAATGATGCTTTTCCAGTTGAAGTTCTGCCGCAGCTGAAAAAATGTTCCACCTTTCTAGAGTCACATACAAAGTTATTATGGCTCAATTTGATTTTAGTCCCAAGTTGGATGGCTCTCTACAAATCACCAAGTTCTGTGCGATGATTTTTTGTGGCTCCATGGCATTCTTCGATGCGCCAGGATGCCGGTGTCTATGCCAGAGCTGATTCGAAGGTTGAAACCATGTCAAAAGATGAGCCCCAGGAGCTGGTTGGGTACAGATCCTGATTCAACATGATGGGGCGAGGCGAGATTCGGCTGTGAATGAACCACTTCATAGTAGAGGATCAACATGCATGATGTGTAGGGATGTGTAGGGATGTGTAGGGATGTTTATTAATGTTTATTGTTGTTTATTTGTATTCATGCATTCACATGATGATTCCGAGAAAATCCAACGGGGCACACCGCAGAAATTTCTGGTTGTTTCTTTGTGGCTCAGATCTGCCCATGTCTTCGAGGAGCCAAGATGAAATGCTGCAATCGCTGACCTCTGAGGTTCGCCCCTGATTTGGGGTCAACGCCACGTGGCCATTTTGTTCCAAGCTGGTGTGTCAGAAAATGAAGTATACCTCCAAGTCCAAGTTAAACATAGTTTGAAAACATGTTGTAACAGGGAAAATCATGTAGAAGCAGCGGCCCTACCATCTGGTAATCAAACACAGCATTTGAACATCCACCATTTATAGATGATTTTCTCATGTAAATCTCCATTTATAGGGGATTTCCCATCGCCACATTTGATCAAATTTGATTATTGGAGGGAATTTTCACCGAGAGAAACCCATTTTTTCATATTTGGTAGCAGATGCTGGTCTAAAAAAAGAATTGTTTTTTTTTTTAAATTTAAGGGCTGCCGCCCCTGCCGCCGACCCCGGAAAAATTGGACCTCGATTTTTTGATCCTCCACCTTGTTTCTTTGACCCCCCACCTTGCCTTTTCGAGGCGCTTGCTACAATAGTATGGATATTATATATATATATATATATATATGTATATATATATATGGGCCCTATTATTATACATAGAAAGAGGAAAAGGCCGGGTGGTCACTTTGGAAGAAGATTTGGTGGACCGGGCGTGGTAAACCGGCTGGATTGATAACTTGCTTACAGGTACGCAGGACCCCCTTCCGTTATATGTTGATTTATAATCCCATCTGACTATAGATGTATCCACCATAACTCCAAGTTATTTGGTAACCAAATGGCAAATCGTTTGGGGGCCACCGGGGATATCTATGGATATCTCGTATTTGTATACAATACAGTATGTATAGTTTTGTACATATCATATGATATATCATACATCTCACTATGATTAGATATAATATTCACATATATATATAGTACACTCATTCTATATTAACGTATACTCACGTGATATCAAATGAAGACATATAGAGAGCACCCAACATAGATAGCCGATATTGAATTATCACTATTCTAGTAGGATTATTGTCAAAAAACATATCTTTTTTGGCATTGCTAAAATATACCCTCGGGTAAACGAACACAGGGCTTCCATAGAAACATGTCATGAAATCCAATGAAATCAGCTTTTTTTGTTGGGAAAATCCCATATCAACCCTATCCAAAATCCGATTACTTCCACTAAAATCACCATGCGATCTGATTGAATCATGAAATTATATCTGGTTGGTGGTTTGGAACGTTTTTTATTTTTCCATAGATTGGGAATAATAACCCCAACTGACTTACTCATATTTTTCAGAGGGGTAGGTATACCACCAGCCAGATATGAAACAACATGAATGTCCATTGAATCCCACACTTTCCATCCAAAGCCACTGGTGGAGTCCTTTTTGTGGATGAAGCCTATTCTCTGAAGAAGGCTCGGTTTTCATGGGCCGGGGATGGGCTAAGTCACAGGTTCTAGGTAAACAAGAGAAATCATCCCTAAATGGTCGCAAGATTCAGGTTAGCGAAACATGATAATTTACTTATATAGATCTATAGAGATTGTTTGGTAGCGTTTTGGAGGAATGGTCATTTGCAGTATGACATCATCCGTTTTGTCAGGAAATGGAGTCATATGGAGTATACTGGCATAGGTATACCCCCAAATCCAAATGGTTATTTTACATGGGGAAGGTGATGATACACCTGTGTCTATATTGTTATTTTCCCCAATAGTTGGGATGATGATCCAATCTGATAAATATGTTTCAGGGGGGTTGAAACCACCAACCAGATTAAAAATGGACATTACTGCTGTGGTAAATGGGATTGATTTCGCCAGTATCCGAATTGATAGATAATTCAACAGTTTGCGAAGTGGAAAATCACAATGATAGGGAAATCATTGAACTAAATCATTGAACTCAATGGGCCAAAAAAAATCCATATCTATGGTAAAAATTACTGGTTGGATCGGATTGAAACCACCAATCAGGGATACGGTGGCTGAACATTCGCTGCAGTAGAATGTGACAATTTTGCTAGGAAACTGAATGACAAGAAACTGATCAACAACGGGATGTGGATGACTACATACCCTATTTTGTAACATCTTGTCACCCTGAATAGGGAAATTGTTTAGATTTGAACCCTAAAAAAGCTTAACCAGTAAACATTGGTTGAAACATTGTGTCAAAGAATAGGCGGGAAGCCAGTCAAGTCAAACTGGTGAGGTAGACGTGTCTAATCTTTTGGTAGGTTGGTAGTGTAGCTTGAGATGCCCTTTCTTCACAATGCATTTTTGGGGGCATGGTTTAACTGTCCAATCG